AAACACGGCATATTCTCCGATGGATTTCTACTGCACTATTCCCTTCTGCTTGCAAGAAACGAATAACACTTCTCCAGTGGGAGAATCAATAGACGCGGCCATGTTTATGCGACTGCAGCACAACACAAACTGGCTACTTGAACTCGGCAGTGACATATGTTGTAGTGGGGAAGATGCGCGATCGACTACTGCGCACACCGCCGGCCTGCGACTTTTCTAGCCGTCACAGTATGAGATCGGAGGTTGAACAAAAAACGGCCCTGGTAGCATTGCGGAATATTTCGATATCATGTAGGGGCCAACACGTGTAAAAAGTTTCATTTTTTCTTATTGCTGAAGTTAACTTCTCCCGAGTGTATGGTGGCCAATAACATTGATTATTTATAATCCAGCTGGTTGGAATAGCTTCAACTGCTGCATCCTCGCTTTTGAATTTGACAACGGTCCACGGCTGTCGTTCCTCCATAACTCCACATGTAAAAAAGTTACCATTAGTATTAATCCTATAAAAGACTTTAATTTTTTGAACATTGCATGTAAGATACCGACGTTATTAAACCAGGGCCGGTTTACCATCTCCCAATAAATTTATTTGACGAATAACTACCTTGACAACAATTGTATCAACAATGACATCCATGGAGTTTATTCGAAGCAGAGACTTGTTATAACGTCTCTGATTCGAAGAATCAAGTTATTGAAAGATGCAATAACCTAGCCAATTAAGGGCCGGTATTTCCATCTCGGGGTACAGTCAAGTATATCTTCCAGGTAAACCGACAGTTAGCGTCGCTTCGGGTATTTCGAACTTCGTTTAAATATTATCGGCAGGATAAGCTCTAGATAAAGTTATTGGGTAGATTTTCTGCAGTTATCAACATAACCCCAAGATATTGCGTCAAATTTCTAGTAGACTGATGACGTTTTAAAAATTTGCGGAATTACCAACCGTACCTATACTAAATAGGAAGAAAGAAATTGAAGGATGTAAGTAGAAGTACGCAAATACATACTATGTTTTCTTGAAGAATATAGGTACCTAACCTATTTTAGATTCCAAATGGATCAAGATTTTCTGGACTTATTCGAATCCGATGACGAAGAATTATTTGGGGTGATCTTTGTATACGGAATTGAACTGTTATTGAAATAACTAAATATACCTTCAGCTGTACCATTATTAATTCCAGACTTTGCATTAAATTGGTGGGCAATATTCTCCCAGCAATTATTTTTTTCTGCCCAAGTAACACCATCACTGCGTTTATTTTCCAGGACGTCCTTGTACTCGATAACCACAAGCACACGATTTTCATATGTGCTGAAATTAGCAGTTCTTTTTTTTCTACTCGGAGCATTTACATCACGATTTGGGTTCATGTTCAGAGTACTCATAAGTAAAGCTTATTCTGTAATTTACGTTCGACAAGTATACGTATTACAAGTCACTGAATTTCTTTCAAAAACAAAAGCATTTGTTCAAATTGTCAGGTAGTATGCTATCTTTCTCTAATATGTGGCTCTGCCGTTCGCTATCTTTTTCTATTACAGACTTCTAAAATCGGCAACATTGGCTATGGCTAGGTAGCTATCTACGGGATATATTTATACCGCACGCCGATGGAAATACCCGCAGATAGATAAACGGAAGATATCAGGCGGTATAAGTTATTTTGCAGGTACGAATCTAATACTTTATCCGAAGATGGAAATACCGGTCCTAAGGGTCGATAAATTTATTCGGCAAATAAGTACCTTGAAAACGATTGTATCTACAATCTGCTTCCTTGTGGTTGAATGTATTGCTGTGGCGATGTTGAAGGAAAAGTTGGCGGAATGTGACGGATTGTTTGATTGCAAACAGATTCTTCTGCTTCGTGGATCAATTTGAAAAATTTCGATTTCATTTCAAGCTATTTTCTTAATGGAAAAAATCGCACCGTTTCTTCAATTGACTCAAAAAACTTTCAAGGGAGATGTTGGTGTTTGTGGTGATGTTCTGATGCGCTTTTTTTCTTGTAAATATTCCTGCAATACGCTTACCGTTGCTAGGGGTTCTTTTGACTTTGATTTTCGACTTCTGGTCTGAGGAGTTGTTTGCGGAGTTCTCGGATCGCGCTGTGGCTGGGAGGTAGCCGAATTTGTCTGTGAACTTAACTGAGATGGATTTGATGAAGCACTGTGCGGTCTCGGAAACGCAATTTTTTTCTAGCAGGATCTATACATTTTGTTGTGCGCATATATATGTATATATGAATTTGGAAATATCAATATTTTTATAAACCGAAAGGCATGTACGGAGCATTGAGTAATTTGGACCACATTGTGGAGGACTTTTTGTTGTTACTCATATTATTGAAATATGCTAATAAACAGTTTTCGGTAATACAGGGTGGCGCAGTGGGTATTGATGGTTTTAGGAGTGTTATTATGGCTATACTAATTAAACGACTAAGGTCAGAAACATATATTTTTATTACACATATAATGCAGTTTTACAACAAATTTTATTTTTTAAAAACAATGTCTTTTAAGTGGCCACCACGTTTGTCTAAAGATTCCTGCAGTCGTGAATGAAACAAAACTCTCTGTAACTCGTAGCAGCATCTCCTGGTTTATGGCTCTGATTTCGCGAGTAATGCTGCCTTTTACAGCTTCTAGCGTTTGAGGTCTATTTTCGAAAACCCTAACCTTCAAATATCCCCATAAGAAAAAGTCAGGGCTGGTTAAATCTGGTTCGCACCGAAACTGTCGCTGGACCACAATAACAGACTCCGATCGGTGATGCGCTCTATTGCAAAAATTGCGTTGATTCACTGGCCAGTTAACCATGGTTACTAAACTGCATTACATGAGGAATATTTTAAGCGGTTGATTACCCCCTCCACTTTACTCATATTCGGACAGTGGCGTCTCAGAAATCGTCAATACCCATTGCGCCACCCTCTATTTACTACCTTATTTGCCTCACACCAATTATTGAAGGTTTTGTATTCCTTCTCGTACTTCGGCCTTGATTTTGTAGGTAATAATTTTTCTACTGCAGAGTAGACTATGTAACATCAATCTGACCACGCCATTTCATTTCGATCCTTTTTGCTTGAGTCATCTCACCTGATAAGACCCAACTCACCTCTACAATAAAGGTGAGACGGCTCAAACAATAAACACAGACGCAGCTCGGAGGATGACAGGCATCACGTGTCTACGAAACTCTTTAGCAGGCCGTCAACGGTGGAACAGAAGCCACGACATTCGTATAGCTATCATATCGCATGTCTTGAATGACACGGGACTACTCCCGAAGGAAGATACGACAAATGATTTGAGTGAGCATCGAATAAACAAGAGCACAGATAAAACAATTCACGGAAAGTGTGAATAACAGGCTGAATCCATTCTCTTCAAACTTAAACGAAAACCAGACAGTTTCCGATTTCTTCAGGGCCAGAAGAAAATGATCACATTGGTTTCGGATTACTTTAAAGCAAAAATCTCAAAGAGCAATTACTCCCGCAAAAACCGCAAATCATACTCCATTACGTAATGTCGAAAATAATGCTGCATCAGAGGTTGAATTGAAATGTGACGGTAAGCAATAGATTATCTACCCATTATAGTTTCCCGACAATGATTAATTAATAACGCATTTCTAACAGAAAGAAATCTACCAAAAGTGCTGTGGATGAGCGAAGATGCGACAAGGGTAACGCGTAAAATCGAATATGATACTAAAAGCAATAAGTTGGTTGGATTTACCCTGCCACTGGTTCATGGGATCTGTAGACGAGCTAATTTGGCTACGTGAAGAGAAGGTTGTTGATGGAGAATGAAACAAGCAGGTGACCGGCGTGATGCTGAATTTAATTGAATCTTATTACGTACACACAAAACATCTTTCTGATTACGCTAAGTATCTTATACTACTCGAAGGGAGGCGAGTCTCCTTCTCGCGTCGCCACACAATAAACCCCAACTCGGCACGTATAGGATCCCTAAAACTGACGAATTTTTAGCAACTTCAGCGAAAGCCATACAAGATCATTTTTCTCAAGGAATTAAATCAAACTATGCTTATGTTGTTATGGACCAACCTCTCTCGATGGAACCACCTCCATATTGTCTTGTAGTTTTTGGTACGGACAACAGATTTAATTCTAACGATGTGTTGTCCACCCGGTTCGCCGTCGCCAGTCCGTCGGCGGGCCTTTTCGCCGTCGGGCCAGTCGACCGTCGCCACTCCGACGTCTCTTCGCTTCGTCGCCGCCGCATGACCAGTATGCTACTTAATAACATTAAAGTATTGTAAGTTCTCGCTAGATATACATCCAATAAACTACAGTTTTTTATTTACAATTTTTCTTTCAAAATATCCAAAAATGTAGATAGTGTTTAAAAACCTAGTTCAGAGTTCCAATAATATCAACACACACGTGTACATCGTAAGAATCACATTTAAGGCGTATTTATGCTCACTAATAATAAGTAATAAAAATAAATAATAATATAAGTAATAGTATTTCGCTCTTCCATTAATACTTTAATAAATAATAGAAACTTCAAGCCTGCAGTGGCGCCAGCTCTTATTATCATTGAGGATGCGCCGAGATCCATTGCAGTAGCATCTTGAATAGATAGTGATTCTTATCATAAAAGTTTCCTGAAGTGGGTAATCAAGGTTATTCGCTGTTCATCACCTACAGAAAGGTCTTTTTATCACAACCTTTTTTTTGGGTAACAACGATATGTAAATATGATATTATGACAAGGATTCAAATATCTCCACTAGCAAGGGTTGAAAGTGGAATTATTATTCATCCCCTTTGGTACGGGTGCAGGGTAGGAACATTTATACCACGATAAATTCAAGATATTTTCTCATAAAACTTTTAATTCTAGAGATAAATCATAACATTTGGTTAAAACATCTACATACAAATTTCAGAATTCTTAAAAATATAACCAACTCTCAAGCTCTATACCTTTTTTAATAAACATCTCACAAAAAAGTAATGTATAACAAAGTTGTGTCGAATTTTGTGATCTACAATTTCTGATAACACTATCTTTTTGTAAAGTGTGTAAGGATTAAAAAAATTCAGTAATTTTATAATTCAGATTTCGTATAAAATCTTTTAAAAATTATGCGAATTTTGGGCAAGAGAGGGCAGGAGCACTCCATATAAACATTTGACTGCGCAGATATCCCTGCCACTATCCTTACCCCACTACAACGGTAAGGTGTATATAAACAAGAGCACAGCCAAATGGAGATCAGATCCCAGATCCTGCAACTATAAACGATCACCCGAGATCCACGCCTGAATTATAATATTTACCATTGTTCTTTCTACCACCCTTCCAGATTCCGATTCAGCGTATGGTCGAGTATATCACCGTCGCTGTATCAACCCCGCAAATAACAACCCGATTCCATCTAATTGCTTCAACGTATGGTCGAGTCTATCACCGTCGTTGTAGTCCTTCCGCAATCCCATCCCTGGACAACGTATGGTTTGAGTTAATCACTGTCGTTGTAGTGTATCCACCCTTACCGTAATCCATTCCTGTTAGCCCAACGTATGGTCGAGTTTATCACCGTCGTTGAAATTACCATTCTACCAGTACCTCGGTAACCCTGAGAACTCTCCCTTATTCAAACCCCGACCAGAACGTTTACGCTTCACGTAGACCTCCCTTCCTGCACGAGGAAAACATAACCTAAAACCCGCCCTGTATAATTACAATTTAAAGCTTGAGCGAATCATTACCATAGCTCCCAGGCAACACATCATTCATTGTAAATAATCTCATCTCATTTGTAAATAACTTCATCACACTAATTCACCAGATTTCTAGCAACTGCCGTAAACCTACAACCTCCGTTTGACGGTTGACAGCGCAGATCCGGCTGCGTCCACGATAGCGGTGTCCACGAGTCGAGGAGAGAGGATCGAGCGGAGGAGTGAAATACAATTACTGCTCTTGTTAATACATAACAATTATAAATAAACATTGTCATATCCTTGTACTGTACTGTGTCTACGCAACCCGAGTCTACGACTGTCGACTACCCGAAACCCGCTACGTGCCCAAATCATCCACAATACCAGGGGTAAACGTAGCGGGCGTTGCAAGTGAACCTATAAAAAGATATGATTGAAAAACTAAGAAACCAACCAAATTTCAAGGGTTTTGGTGGTGGTACGGGGGAAGCACAAGGTGGAAGGTCGAAAACTTAGATTCTTAACCACCAGATGACTGTCTATGACATGCAAAAGAAATTGGAACTACTTCGCATTTTGCAAGTTAAAACCCTGGACTATACTCAATTATTCAAACTTCTGGAACTAAACCCTAACTTACACGCAACTGCCGTTCACTGTGATTTTGAACTCGCCGCAATTTCAGCGATCAGGGAATGTTTTCCTGGAACCGCGATAGCTGGATGTTTCTTCCATCTTGCCAATAATATGAGGAAACATGTACAGGCGCTGGGGTTGATGCCGGAATATCAGAACGATGAAGAGTTTTCATTGAAGGCTCGAATGGTCACTGCTTTGGCGTTTGTTCCCGTGAAAAGATTGGAGGATGCAGTCGATCAGCTCAGTAATTACCTTCCCAACCAATTGCATCCCCTCTTGGATTGGTTTGAGGACAATTACCTGGGAAGGGCGAACAGGTAAATTGCATAAATACTGAAAACTTTAATAATCATGTTGGTTGGATAACTCTACGAAACATTCCCTTCAGATCAATCCCTCTGGCATTTATAGACCTGTTGACCTTTATTTATCGCATACGCAAGCTTATTAAAATATGTAATCCTCAATTTTCTTCTAACGGCGCAACCATTTTTTAATTTTTTAATGAAGATCGTATAGAATATCCAACCATCATGGATAACTGAAGACATGAGTGGATGAAGGTGATGTGTAACATTTTTTCCGATTTTTGTTTTTTACCATGAATGAAGGTGTTATGTCTATTTACACCCTATATAAGAATGTTCAATAGACGCTTATTGATCAAGATAAACAGAGGATGAAGGCGTTATGTACATCTATAAGTGCCACCATTTATGAATGATAGTGGTAAGGGACCTTATCCCGTTTTTCAACCTAAAAATAGTAACATTTATGGCTCAATGTCACAGATGAAGGTGCTATATGTGTACATAACACCTTCATCCAGAGAATAACACTGTTAAGGATACTGATGATATACACATTAGGGTGGAGTGAAATTCTAAAAAAAATATTTTATTTTAATGCCAAATTTCTAATAGTGGGGAAAAGTTGTGTATATGTGACTTTAATTTACTGTAAAAATTATAGGATTTTGGGATGTTATCTTCAGGGTCCCCAGGCGCCTTAAATATTTTAATGGAAGTAAGCATATCAAACCGTAATGAAATGTAATGTTTAAGTACTATGTATTCTTTTTATTAGTAAATCTTTTATTTTTACCAATAAGTGTTCGTATTTCATAGTACAAATAACAATATTTGCTTTTCATGACTGTTCTACTGCACATTATAATCAGCTTTCGTGTTAAAACATGGCATAATTTTTCTTGATTCCAACGAAGCTGCTATGAATCCATCTCTTGAGTCTGATCCGCACACTTTTTCCGATGCCTCTGTAACCATCTTCACACACCTCTCTACAGCCTGTGAATGACATGGGAATTTTGGGAAAGTCATTTCTTCAAAATTAGATTTGATCGATTCTATTATTTCTTCATCTGAGTAACACCGTAGTACGGGAGGTTCTGTCACTTTAACATTTTGCCAATAAATCATTTCAACATAGTCATTTGCTTGGAAATTTAGAGGTGGTATAATATATTCACGGACACCGACTCTTGCTTCCTTTCTTGCCTTCAAAACCCGACGCAATCCCAGTTCCCTAATATGGGGACGATTGTCTGTAATCATTGATAGCAGTACATTCTCAGGATGGCTTGCGTAAGCGTTTCTCTGTATAACTGGGTCAATAATTTCCTTCAATTCATCAGACAGATATCTTGAAAGTTGAATTAACTGACATAGGTGCCGAGATCCATCTTTACACGATGGATACCGTTTTATGAGAAACCACATCGGGGCATACACTTTTACTACAAATGTTGCAATGGTTTTTAGCTCGAATGTTGGATTATAGGTTGCTATATAAAGCCGTAGAACTCTGTTGGCTGTAGTTAACCACCTTGAATGAGATAACTTCCCTGGTTGCCTATTTATAAAGTCCGATGGGCATATGCCCGTCGATACCGCTTTCCATATTTCCAGTAAGTACCTTTGGTCTGCACTAAGATCAGATGGAATATCAGATGGTATATCAACTGAGATTGCTTCAAACCGAACGACACCTTTTTGTTCACAATTACTGAGAGCCTTCCCAATTGGCCCAGAAAATGCACTAGGTCCACTTGTAACGCCATCTAAACGCTGCAGTAAATGTCGTAATGGTAATTCATTAATATGCAAAAGGCACACAAGCCACTGAAGTGATCTACCACAGTGCATTTCTAACAAATGCATAATTCCTCCCTTTCTTCCTGTATTTACAACAGTTCCATCGCATCCTATTACAGAAAGATGCTCTGTGGAAATGTTTTTATTTCTAAGGAAATCTACGATACTTCTGTGGATACTTTGAGATGAACCGCTTGTAGGAGTACAGTGTCCAATAAAAGTAGAATCAGGCTCACTTACTAGAGATATATGTTCTTCCACGATAGTTCTTTTATAGTACTTGTTCCCTTTCTTTTCATTGACAATGGTCCTATCTTTTCGTCCGTCAAAAAATAACCCAATTAGTCCCTTCTCACGGTCTCGTAAAGCAAACTGCCTTTGTTGTACTCTTTCCCTTCGAAGTTTGCTCCTATCGATAACACTATGTGAATCTCTTTTTGATATGAGGCCAGCATCATGAAGCACAGCCGTTGCTACAGCGGCAGCTGCTCTGTCAGATAAACCATACCGATCAGAAACTTTTGCCAAGTTCGGAAGGCGAAGACGCATTTGTTTTGGAGCGACACGATCTTGAGACAGTTTAGCTTTAGAAGTTGAAGCTGAAACTTTATCGGGAGTCCCACAGTATTCATCTTCACTGGATGTATTTTCCACTGTAATGGATCCTACAGGATCTTCTAGTAACTTTGATGTGCTAGCAATGGCGGATGAGGAGGAACCAGCGCGAACTATCCTATTCTCTTCCAGTACGTTTCTTTCGCATCGTTTCTGTAGTTTTGCAGTTTCTCGTTGATCCACGTTTCCTATGCACATTTTCCGGTGGCAACGTTGATCGTCGAGGAACTCGCGTTCTTTAGCAGGAATTTTTTTAGATTTCACACACATACAGTTGTCACTAGCGCACTTGCAGGATGCTATATCAAACAGTTTTTTTCTACATTCTATCAGAAAATTCGATAATTTCTCCTGATAATTTTTCTCGTTTTGACGTCCCTTAAATGGTTTCAAAAGTTTAAGATATTTGTCATTGTGTGCTCGTATCAGCTGTAAAACTCGCGTATGAGACACTGTTGGAATTGATGCCTTTTTCCATATTTCTTCCAGCTTTGCTGCAACTGATTCACTTATCTCAGATACAGTCGGATCTTTAGATCCTTTAGAAGGCTTTAAAACTGATCTTGTAAACAAATAAAATTTTGCTACATCTTCGTAAGTCGGTAAAACAAGTTCGTTTAAAGTTTGTGGTGCTCCGAATATAGGACACTTCACCTGTTGTCTCGTTTTAGGTGGATTATTTGGCAACATTTTTAATATCTCTACACAAAAAAAACAGTCACAAGCAACAAGCACGTTTCACGAAATTATTCAAAATGCAACAACATTACACGACGTCTTGTATTGAACTACACTAATACATCGGATTTGTGGGCAGTTCCGTGATTGTCACATGGTTGTCACGTGATTGCTGCCTGAAAGAGAACTATTGTAGACTATTTATAACCACATACAATAAGAAAATGAAGATTAGGATGGAAAACGTTAAAATAGAAGCACTCATTAGTCATTATCCCTCGACTCAATATTACGAAACATTTATGGGCGCCGGGGACCCTCTTGACATTGTCGAAAATACAATTTCTTTTTTTTAAATTACAAAGCATACAAGTACGCAAGTTTCTGCCGCTATTAGAATGTAATCATAAAAAACTCATTTTTTCACTCCACCCTAATACACATACCACCTTCGTCCACTGTTGTAATGTGAATATGCACTTTTGCACTTTTCTATATTTTTAATTAACATCATTTCAGTCTCGTGTGTCTCGTTGTAATGTTGTGCAATAGATGTGTATTCCATTTTATATAGTCATATTGTATATTTTATATAAATCTATTAAGTGATCATGTCAAGAGCAAGAAAATTGGTGGAGGCGGCCTTAAAAACATTTAATGACAATGCGATTTACGAAAGGGATTCTGAAAATCAGAGTCATAACCTCAGACATGAAATCCATGGTGTGTGATATTTAGATAGATATTTTCTTATAGCAGTGGTGTATTAAAAATACGATCACAAGATCATAGCGTGTCACTTCAGTCATAGATCTAATCAATAATCTTTATGACTAAAATTTTACTTTTTCTTGTAGATCGCAGTGAGTGTTTAGGTGTGGAAATCCAGAATGCACCTGATAAAGAACTACTATCAGTTGGTATGACACTAGACGCACTTGAGCCTTTAATCCAACCTTCACGATATGTAGCATGTGCTTCTTTTAACCTAATCGACGCCGACGGACCAAACTTTGTCTCAGAAACTATCAGTTCAAACGCTATTAGTACTACAAATTGTGATGAATGTGACAGAGATAGTTCAGGTACTGTGGGATGTTCAAACCATGGTGAACCGAACACTTGTATTAATAATGAAAAACGTTACACTGTTCTTCAGAATGTCTCATATACACCTCCAGATTATCACGAGGATGTGGAAGAATTTTCCGACTTTTCTTCAGGTAGCGATGAAAATTACATACCAGACAGCAACCATTCAGGCACAAGCTTAGAAGATACTGCCCGTGTCATAAGCAATCCGGGTGTAGCGATTGATGAAGAGGGTAAAATTCAAGAAGATGTACAAAATATCGAATCAGAAGTTCAAGAACCTTTACAAAAACGTAAAATCTTCCCCTCCAAAGAAAACAAATCCAAGAAAGCGCCCTAGGAATGAAAAAACCTGGAATGAAAGGCAGCATCGATGGCTAGAGAGAAGGGCGAAGAATATCAGTCTTATAAAAATGTCACCGTAGAGAAGAAGTCTATACTAGAAGGATCATTATGTCATCAGAAATGCAGACTTGATTGTTCCAGCAAGTTTAACGCTGAAAGTAGAAGAAAAATTCTTAAAGATTATTATTCGCTGGACGTCAACAGCAAAAACGCCTTACTTTTTAAAAGCGTAACCACCCGACCGGTGGAAAGACAACGTGTAAACGCAAAGAAGCACAAGACGGCAACGTATAAGTACTTTGTTACTTATGGTGGTATTACTCAGTGGCGGCTCGTGATCTCTAAAGTTGGTGAATCACACATCATTTTTTAGTCTCCTACAACCCCACCCCTCCCGATGACCTCCACCATTAATTATTATTTGTTCTCGGGGTGGTCCCATTCGGTTCCTGCACCGCGACCTTTTGGTCTATTGTGCTCCCCAGTATTCTCTACCCCTCAAGAATACCTGTATCTTTGATAAAGTCCAGGATTTTGGTAGGGTGGATCTTCGCTACCTCTTCTTGTGTAACCTTCTCGTTTCCAAGTAGGCGTTCTCTTGCCTTTGTGTATGCTTCACATAGGCAGATAACGTGGTGTGGTGTTTCACTTTCCTCACCACAGCCCCTGCATAGAGGGCTGTCAGTCAGTCCCATGTTGTGCAGGTGCTTGTTCAAACAACAATGGCCTGTGGCCATCTCTGTTGCAAGTTTGATCTTCATCCTACTTAACTTTAAGATGGATGATGCTAGTCCCTCGTTTGGGGTTTCCAGAAAGATCTTGGAGTGACTCTGTCCCGGAATTTCCGACCAATGTCTGCAATGCTCTTTTGTGAGTTTCGCTTGTATCTCCTTTTTGGCTGTGTTATATGTAATCCCACAGGCCGGTTCGGGTCCTACGAGTGGTATCGCGCTTGCCGCTCTCGCAAGTTCGTCAGCGACCTGGTTACCTGCGATTCCCGCCCAGGTGCCCACACTAGCGTTACTGTATTAAGTCTGCCTAGTGCGTTTAGCACTTCAGTGCATTCAAGGACTAGTCCTGAATCTACTACATATGAGTTTAATGCTGCAATCGCTGCTTTGCTGTCTGTAACTATAAAGATTTTCTTTCTGTTAAAGTTCTCTTTTAATAGTCGAGAAGCTGCAGTCAAGATTGCATATACTTCAGCCTGAAGCACGGTTGCTTTTTGTCCTAGGCTTACAGAGATTCTGCAGCCCTGTCCATTGCTTCCGTACACTCCACAGCCAGTGCCCTCCTTAGTTTTCGAGCCATCCGTGTAATACACGATTCCATTCAGTTTTATCTTACTGGAATTGTCCTCCCAGTCGGATCGAGTGGGGATTGCCGTCTTAAACAGTTTTGTGAGACAAACTGTTTTGGTTATTCTCTCGGATATCATACCGAGGGTTTTATGCCTGGAGATTTCATCAAAGATGAGCGAGTGTCCCACCCTTGACGATCTCTCCTCGCCATTGACTCTCAGCCGGTATGCCCCTCTGAGCGCCTCCGCCCTAATTACTAGGTGTAGTGGCGGTAAGTTCAAGAGAGTCTCCATAGCTGCAGTAGGGGTCGTTCTCATTGCCCCCGTAATTCCAAGGCAAGCTCTGCGCTGCACCTTGGTAAGTTCCTGTATGTTCTTCTGGGTGAAGGTCTTATGCCACCACACCAGTGACGCATACGTAATGACTGGTTTAATCATTTTAGTGTATATCCAGTGGGTCATCTTTGGCGATAGGCCCCACTTGCTTCCGAACGCTCGCCTACAGGCCCACAGGGACTTTGTGGCTTTGTTCGCTATTTTCTCCAGATGTGATTTGAAGGTAAGCCCTTGGTCTAACGTGACGCCCAAGTATTTCCCTTCTCTCACTAACTGTAGCTTGGTGCCGTACATTGCTATATCCTTTAGCTTTGTCGGCCCTTTTCTACGTGAGAAGAGAATGAGGTTTGTTTTTGTTGGATTAACAGACAAGCCCTCTTCTCTACACCACTTTTCCACCAGAGTCAAAGCTCCCTGCATCACTGCTGACACGGTCTCCTCAAATCTTCCGCGTACCACAATCACTATGTCATCGGCATATGCAACTGTAGTATATCCTGCCTCACTTAATCTCCTCAGAAGTCCGTCCACCACTAAACACCACAGCAGAGGAGAAAGGACTCCCCCCTGCGGGCATCCTCGTGCGGCCCGGACCACTACCGAGTCGTTGTTAAGTGAGGCTGTAATGTTCCTATGTTTTAGCATGGTATGTATCCATCTACTAATGGTAGTGTGTACTCCCTTGCTTTCTATAGCCATGTTGAGCGATTCTAGAGTGGTGTTATCAAACGCCCCCTCTATATCTAAAAACGCCCCTAGAGCCACCTCATTACTAGCTATCGCTCTTTCAGCTGCGTCCACAACTCTGTGGATAGCCAGTTCACAGGATTTTCCTGGTTGATAGGCACATTGGTGTTTGCTAATGGGTTCGGACCCCAGTACCTCATCCCTTATGTGTCTGTCAATAAGTTTCTCTAACAACTTTAGGAGAAATGACGTTAGACTGATGGGTCTAAACGACTTAGCCTGGGCGTAGGAGTCTCGCCCAGGTTTGGGTATGAATACGACTTTTACATCCCTCCACGCCATAGGTATGTATCCTAGGGCAATACTTGCCCTTAGTAAAATACATAGTGTGGAGGCTATCAGGTCGAGACCTTGTTGTAGTAGAGCAGGGAAAATTCCATCCATGCCTGGGGATTTGTACGGATGGAACGTCCTCACTGCCCACCTAACTTTGGTTAGGTTCACTATTTGACGAGCCAGGGCCCAATCTCCTCTGTTCCCTCTGCAAAGTGGTTCCAGAGCATTTGGTTCACACACGTCATTTTTAACGAGGGTCTTTGATCCCGGAAAGTGTGATTGAAGCAAAAGCTCCAGGGTCTCCTTTGCGGTCTCGGTATAGCCCCCCTCTATTTTGCTCAAGGAACCGATTCTACCCTCTGTTCCTTTTTGTAGAGCTCTTTGGAGTCTGGCACTTTCTGGAATTTGTTCAATTTCCTCACAGTACCTCCTCCACGAGTCACGTTTTGCCTTTCTTATGGCCTTATTGTATTCGGTGAGTGTGGTTCTGTATGAACCCCATTCCCCCGTGTATTTTGCTTTGTTAAAAAGCTTCCTTGTCTGTGCCCGCAATCGAGAGAGTCCCTCATGCCACCAGGGCACTTTGTTTGAGGTTCTCCTTTCTTTTGTGGGACAGCTTGCCTCATAGGCACCTTTGATGGCCATGCGAAGGTTTGATTCCATGACCTCCAATTCCGCCGAGTTACTGACTCCTGCAGGACAGTTCTCGAGATTGACCTTTAGGTTCTCTCTATAGAGGTCCCAGTCGGTTCTTCTCGGATTTCTATATACGGATACAGCCGTTTCGTTAGATTCAATGTCAAAACGAATATATCTATGGTCGGAGAGCGATGGCTCTTCCGACACATGCCATTTGTGTACTGAGCTGCAAGCAGCAACAGTTCCAAATGTTATGTCAATTACCTGCCTCCGCCGACTGTTGACGAAGGTTGGCTCATTGCCTACATTAGCTACCTCTAAATTATTATTAATAATATAATCTAGGAGAGACTCACCTCTTCTGTTGACGTCAGTACTGCCCCACACAGTGTGGTGCGCATTGGCATCACATCCGAGAAGTAGCTGCCTGCCTTTACGCTGGCAGTGTTCCACCAGTTTGCAGACTTCTATTGTTGGTGGTGGACTAGGTTGATCGTAAGGGAGGTATGCGGATCCGAGCACAAGCCCTCTCTCGCTCCCATCCCTTTCCACTGCCAGCATTACTGCCACCAGGTCTCTGCAACAGAGTTCCCAGAGTGGCAGTAATTTAACGCTATCCCTAGCTAAGATGCACGATCTGGGATTGATTTCGTTTGGCTCAGTAATGAGCCGCGCTCCTTTCAGTCCCAGACCTCGTATTTGCCCTTTGTAGGTCCAAGGTTCTTGTACTAGGGCTACATCAATTTGATGTTTATTCATGTATGCACAGAGGGTGGCAGATGCCGCCCTGCTGTGATGCAGATTAATTTGTGCTAGTCTTACCATAAAGAGAAGAGTAAGACCGAACCTACCTAATGAAGTGCGGTGGTTGGCGCAGTTGGTTGAGGTTCTTCTGAGAGCCCCTCACCTGCTGCTGCCTCTTCGCACTCCATTCGTGTCACCTCCTCTTCTTCCACCTTCGTCTTGGAGAGGAGTTTGAACGTCACCCTAGTGAAGTTCACATAGGGCCGATGGTTGCACGTGGCCCCCATCTTCTCCCAGGAAGTTTGGTCCATAAGGACAATCAAAGTTTGTCCCTTGGGATCCTCCTTCCTGTCAACCACGCGCCAATTGCTGGTTGTCACACCAGCATTCTGGATCTCGATCCTTTTCAGGATCTTCTCCGGTTCAACTTGAGCCCCGGGGATCCAGACGTGAGCCCTAATCGGTTTTGGGAGGTTCTTGGCTTCGACGAATCGAAGTTTCGCACCCTCCCACGGAGCTACACTCCCTAGCTCCGACCTCAGCCAGTCCACCGATGCCTGGTCTGCGCACGTTATCAACAGCGCTCCCCCTCGGTGGCGACACTCTGTGAATTTGGGCGAAACCGCCCCAACGGCCAAAGCGTCAACTCGGTCAAGGATCCAGGTCTGTAGTCGCCCTGTCTCCTCCTCCGACAGCGTTCCCTCCAGGTCTTCATGGACGAAAGCCATTCTGAAGCCTGTTGCTGCTTCCCTAAAAGTTCTGGTGTCCTTTACGGTCCCAGTTTTAACTTTTTTGGAGGCACCTCCTTTTGGAGTGCTGCCCTCAGACCGGTGTCGCTTTTGCGTCCCAGTCTTTGGATGACCTCCACCATACTTTTTTGTTTGAAAATTATGTGAGAATCTAAAATTAAAAAAAACACACAATTTTATTTTTTAAAATCAAGGTCAATTCTCCGGTCTTTCAAGTTAGCAAACTTGTTTATAATATCGTTATAAAATGGTTCATTCACTAATAGTTCGTTAAGTAATTCTTTTTCGATTGAAAGTTTTGCCAAGTTTGAAAGTCTTTCTTCAGAAATTTTGTTACGAAGATAAGTTTTAATTCTACGTAAGCACGAAAAACTGCGTTCCACAGAAACACTTGTAGAGGGTATAGCAAATATTAAAGAAAAAAGTTTATAAGCTTCTTTAAATACGTCCTTATCTGCACTCACACGTTTTAAAAATTGAGTTACATCTGTGAGTCGGTACTCGTCACTAGCATAAATTAATTGCAATTCACTTTTGAGTCTCTGGAGTTGAAAGTCAGAAAAAAAGTTGGGATAACTCTCCTTTAAATTTTGTAAGGCCTCCGTTGGAAATTTTTCTGAATAGTTCGAGAAATTTGAAATATCCATTAAAGTTACAAATTTTACTCTATGTAAGTCGGCGAATCGAGTGCTAATTTGCATTGAGACTATATCCAAAACTTCAAAGTATAACAATTTATATTTTTCGAAAGCCTGATCCTTTGTAAGGGTGATTCGAACGCGTCCTTGGCGATGAGTAGTTGGAAGAATTGTTCTTGCTTCAGCCAATACAAACAGTTGCTTAAAAGATAGTTCGCATCTTTTATCGTTTAGGAGTTTTTGAGTTTGAAAAATTTTTGAGGTGCAATAGTTAATGTCTAGTGATTTTTTTTGCAACACATCAAAAAGAATATCTGTGTAACTAAAAATGTCGTTAAAAATAACACACAGTATTGTAAACTCAAAGTCATTAAATTCTTTTAGAAATCCTGCACTTTGTCGAATTGAATTCTGGTCAGAATTTGGATCGTTTATAATTTGGACGAACACTTCTTTCAAAGACTCCCATTCATTACATATTGTAGCTAAAATCTTTGAATTGGAGGTCCATCGTGTAGCAACAGCTGTAGGTATCCGTACCCCAACGATTGTATCAGCTACGTGAGTACGTTTTGCAGAATGATGAAAAAAAGCAGGTAAACCGCTTACTGTAGCAAAAAAAATTCTGCAATTCGAAATAGTTTTACAACTTTGTTCCAACACTAAATTTAATCGATGCGCTAGACAATGGACAAACACCGCTTGCGGAACTATTTCTTTAATTTTCGCCTGAAGCCCGTTTAAATGTCCGGCCATCACACTAGCCCCATCGTAGCACTGAGCAACAAGCTTTTTTTTGTAGTCATACTTTTCCATTACACTTGTCACGAGATTAAATAAATAATCAGCACTTCGATCAGAGCTCACGTCGTAAAATCCTATAAAGCGTTCCTTAACCATGTCCATATGCACGTATCTAATAATAATGCTACACTGTGATTTTTGACCGATGTCTGTAGAATCATCCACTTGTATAGAAAAGAAATTGCATGATTTAATTTCATTTTCGATACGTTCGTCAATGTATTCAGAAATGCAATTGATTAACTCGTTTTGAATTATTTTGGAATTTCCTTTAAACACTGGAGCTATTTTTTTATAATGTTCTTGAATATTTGCCGGACTAACGGATATTAGAGTTTCTAAAAGTTCCTTAAAGTTTCCGCGGTTACTTGAGGATTCATCTTCACGATGGCCCCTGAAAGCTAATTCTTGTTTTCCGAAAAAAAGTACAGCGCGAATAGGTAACTCCATAAAACTTCTATTTAGTCGAACATTTTCATTAAATTGTTGAATATACATTCGCGAATTTTCTTTAATAGCATCTTGTATGGTGCTTATATTTGATTTTAATTTCTTAAAACCCAAGGTAGAACGTAAGTGCTCTGCAGACGATTCGTGTTTATGTAGAGAACGGCTTACATTACCAAAATCGCCAAAACCAGAGGAATTCCATACGTTTGCTTTACAACTAATAATTAAACATGGCAGACAAAAAAGTTTCTTAAGATAATAACTTCCACATAACCACATAAATTGGGAATACCAAGAAGTTTGAAATTTTCTAACACAAACGCGTTCTTTCCATTTCGACACTTTATTAACGTCTAATTTGGGGGTCGGTTTATCACAATTTAAAAAATCTTTCTGGTCATTTTCTGTCCACCTCGAAAAAGGAGTTTCTAACAATATACACACAGGATCGTAAATGGGCAATGATTCCATTCTTATAATCAAATCAGCACAGATTATAGAATGTATGTAATCATAATCACTTCACTCGTAAGTAAATCAAAACTACGGAATTAATTTAATTAATCAAACGTTTCCGCGCCGCGTTCCAATTGCAATTGCAAGCCTACTTTACGCCGCCTTGCTTACGGGGATAGCATACACATTACACAGAATCACAGTATTCCGTTGATGCACCTGATACGTCATAGGATATACGTGTCGTTACCATGACAACCCTCGTAAACAAGCGGTACGGAATGAATCACGGCAGTCAAGGCCGGTATTGTGCTTCTCTTCGAGTGAAAACTAACATTAGACGCACGCAGCTTAAGTATGTTGTGTTGGTTGCGCTCTATTCAGGGGCTTGTTTCGTATATTGGGCTTTGAATACAGAATAAGTAAACATTTCTGTGCTAATAAATATTGCTTAAACAACATGAAAAAAATTAGATTTGAGGTGAATCAGTGATTCACTTGATTCATGCCACCAGCCGCCACTGGTATTACTACGGATGTATGTAAACTGGGTTTATGTGGTTTGTACAGAATTGGGAGAAAGAAAGTGGATATCATTATAAGCTGGATCAAAAGTGGTGCTTCTGCACCACCACCTGATCGTAGAGGTCGACATGCGAGTAGACCTCACAAAATATGTGATGCAGTGTTAAATAAAATTAAACAACATATCTCAAGCTTTCCTGCGGAGCAATCACATTATTCGCGCAACAAAAATGCGTATAAGTTGTACTTGTCACCATTACTAAACCTTACAAAGATGTATAACCTGTATCTTGAGATGTGTGAAGAGGAGAAGTTGCCCAACAACTTCAAGATAAAGAAGGCCACTTATAATAAGATTTTTGTCACACAGTTCAACTTGTCGTTTGGGTATCCCAGAAGCGACACCTGCTCTACGTGTGATGCTGGAGAGTCTAATGAAGAGCACATATCAAACTACCATGCAGCTGTTGAAGCCATGGCGACTGATAGAAAGAAACTATCTACCAACAATAATATACTCTACATCACGCTGGACCTACAACAAACGATGCCTTTGCCAAAAATTCCTACCTCGAAAGCGTTCTATTTGCGTCAGGTTGGGTTCTATAACCTAGGAATTCACGTGGTAAGCGGAAGCAAAAATAAAGCAGTTTGCTGTACGTGGACAGAAGACGAGGCCAATCGCGGTAGTATTGAGGTTGCAAGCACATTATTACGTTTTGTTCAAGTGAACGACGCTTGTCGTGACAAAGAGCATTTGCTAATTTGGTCAGATTCCTGCGCAGGACAAAACAAAAATTTTAATATGATAACTTTGTACTAATATATCATTTTAAAAGGTTATTTCAAAGTAATTGACCATAAATTCCCTGAGGTGGGCCATTCATACCTCGATTCAGATAGGGACTTTGGCAGAATAGAAAAATTGTTAAGAAAACACGAAACGGTCTCCGTTCCTCTCAAAATAACACCGTCATGGATATGTTCACCCACTTTCGCAAAATAGACGATCTGCAAAACAAATTCAATTTAATAAATAGAAAAAAAGATGTTAATATTTAATATATATTAGGTTAGTTTCAGAGATGGAATAAAATGGATACGTGTAGAGGAGTTTGGCTCATATCTCTTTAAAGAAAATTACGATGAGATGACTTGCGGACGCTCAATGACGATGATCGCACGAATAATTTCGTCGAGGCTTCTCATGTTCGCTTCATTGATGGATTAAGGATGGTACAAAAGGGACGAGACGCAGCGTTGGAACATCTTGTTGCTGGTCATCCACCACCTCAAAAAAAGAGGAAATATCGGGAGGCAGATGCCAGACTTTTGACACTGTTGCGAAGATGGGATAATCAGGACGTTGACATTACACAATATCTTCGCGGAGTTGCTCATAATTATATGTGACAATAAAATATTTACTGATGTGATTGAAATGATTACACCTCCATCTTCACCCAACTTCTATTCCCATTCATAATTAATTTATGAACGCAGCCTCGCCGACCGACTGGCGACGGCGAAATGGGCGGGCTCGATTCTTGTCTGATGGAGACTCTCGCTTGCTAAAAGCTATGCGTCAGAGTTCTGGCTTACCCAACCCCGAAACAGGAAATAAAACGTACGAATGGGAATGGTTTCAAGCAGGGTTCGAAAGAGATCCAGCTTCGATTTCTTTTGTCCAAGATACAGTGCATATCGGCACGAAACTCCGGACACGACTATTAAACAGCCGAATAAAATGACATTTGGATCATTCATCGTATCTTCAGCTCATTTTAAACACCAGATACTGCATAGCACCAAAGACGAGCATATGTTGACACAGTCAGACTTAAAATTGGAGGACAAAATGAATTTTCGAGCTGCGGAGAAAATTTTTTCGCTGGCTGTGATCGACTTAATGGAAAAAGTACCTAACGGCCAGGGTACACATGCTTTTGTGAAGGTAATGCGCCAGGCCTTAGACTCATACTTAGACCCCAATTTAGACAGAGCAAGCCGAATTTTTAATATTTGGAGTAGTGTATTTTTCCTGCGTATTTGGCGGAAGTGGTTGGTCACAAATAATTATAAAATCGGAGAGAGCTTTATTTCGACCAATTGCTATGTATATCTGAAACTGAATGCAAATGTGCTCATTAATATTATTGTCAACTTTCGAGAAAATCCCGACTTGAACAGCAGCATGTTTTTACCTTCGCTCTTTAGCAGCCAAAGCTGCGGGCAGAAAAAAAGGGGACCCCGCCCACAACAGCATCGACAGTCAAGACTCGAGTGAAGAAAGTCGGCAGAAGCCCAAATAAAAGGCGGAAGACAGGAAAGAGGAATAGGAATACAAATGTGGTATCTTCATCCTCAGAATCGACATGTCAAGTAGTTTGCGATGACAGTACCGATCTCAGTAGCGATAGAGAAAGTTTTTCTGAAATCGAGGACGAAACAGATACAAATGGTATCTTGGCCATGTTACAATTACTCGTCAGGAAGGAAAACAAAATGAAACAGTTGAGATCAAGTTTCTGAAGAGATCGAGAAAGAACAAGTTGGAGTTCTTCTGGCCTAAAGTGGAAGATACTGTCGTAGTGGAGCAACAGTATTTACTCTACGGACCTTTGTTAAGGATACGTGCAATAAGTGCGACGCGTATTCTGCACAAGTACACAATGCAAAAGATGAAACTCAAAAGCAAATGTTAAAAGAAGAACATGACCTACACCTTCAAAGGGCGCAGTTGGCCAGAAATGAATTGAATAAAGACATAAAAGAAGCAGTTCAGAATCCTCTTCTTGAAACGCTTACTTATGACATGGAAAAGGTTTTAGGATTGCCTAAACTGCCAACAAATATTGTTTATTACAAGAGGCAATTAAGTATCTATAATGAAGGTATTCATTCGGGATCGTCAAACACTCCTTACTGTTTCCTGTGGAAAGAAGGAGAAGCGGGGAGAGGTGCTCAAGAGGTGGGATCCTGTATAAAAAAATTTGTTGAGGTGCATCTTAAAAAAGGAGTGGAGGAGTTAATACTGTGGTCAGATAGCTGCGGGGGACAAAATCGAAATATAAAAATAGTATTAATGTTGAAAACGGTGTTAGTACAGCATCCCACACTAAACAAGATTGTTTTGAAGTACCTAGAATCTGGGCACAGCTATTTACCCAACGATACGGATTTTGGGCAGATAGAACGAGGCCTTAAAAAAATCAGGTTCGTCTTTATACTTTGACAGACTTCATGTCTGTAATTGGATCTTGTAAGAAAAACAATAAATTTGTAATTACCCTAATGCATACTGACGACTTTTACTCTATCGAAGATATGGAAAACAAAATTTCTAATCGAAAGTTGAGTATTGGTAAAGAAAAAATTAGTTGGTTGAAAACAAAAAAAATAAGAATTGAAAAATCAAAACCGAATTCAATCTTTTTGGCGGAATCACATTCGGCAGAAGAAAATGATTTTAAAGAAGTAGATATATCGAAACCAGTACGAGGAAAGAGACCACAAACCTCTATCAATCCACACCTATTGAAAACGCTTTACCCTGAAGGGAAAGCAATTTCCAAGAAAAAATGGGACGACATAAGGTCATTATTAAAGTTTCTTCCGAAAGATGCAACTGCATTCTACAACATAAAAAAAGTGGAAAATTTTGAAGACGATTTAGAAGGCTTTGGAGCCAATCCGGATTTTGAAGTAGAAATAGAAGGACAATGTTCTAAATCTTAAGAAGTTTATTACTGTACATCTGTTTTATTTTTTGAAGAAATAAACAAATTTTGTTTTTCTATAAAGAGTCCTATCGCATTTTCCCCTTTTATTATAAAGAGAACCATGGTATGTGGACCTTTTTCGAGAAATAAATCAATTTTATCCAATTATTGAAATAGAACCATCCACCAAAAGTTGTTAATTTGTTTATATTTTCAAACTTAGAAAACATGTATTTAATTAATACTGCAATTTACTCACAAATTTGGCGGCGCTGGTAAGAAGCTCATGCAAACACAATTGCAATTAAACAAAAACATGTTCATTTACAAAGCACTAATTTACTCAGATAGACAGTTTGGTACATGGTTCCTTATCAATTAGCATCATCCAACTTTCTATGGCTTTTGACCAGTACTATCCCCCAGAAGAAGATGTGCGTGCTGGTAATCTGTGGATAATCAATCCATTTATTGATCATTATAATAACAATCTTACTACAATTGAGGAAACAGAACTTGAACTATCTTCAGATCTAGGTAATTATACCTACGTACAATTTTGAAACAAAGTGTATCCTCCAAAATATAGGTTAAGATGAGATTTAATTTACACCAAAAAAATTTACTGTAGGGATACAAAATGAAGTACCAAATTGCAGGGTTGGCAAACAAAAACCCAACAAAAACCGAGTGGGTTTTTTACAAAAACATTTCGTATCAAAAACCCGGGTTTTATAATTTTTGAGCTTTTGCAAAGGAACTGTATTTTTATGCCTAGAGTACGTTAGGTTAGTTTTTATTTTCATTAACAAGTACTTCATACAAATACCTTTATTTCACATTAAGCCAGTAATAGACATACATTACTTAAAAATATAACAGAAGAGTCTTCGACTAGAAAAAAATAATACTTCTATAATCTTATAATGATATTTGATAAATTATTATATATTGGCTTTCTAACTTTTATTTATTTTTTTTTATTTGACAATATCGATATATTTTAACAAGTTTTTCAACTTTGGAAGCTCCAAGTTTATTGCGTAGTTTGGACCACACCAAACCAAAAGTTGAAAAAATTCGTTCAATGGCTGCTGAACTGGCAGGACAGCTGTGCAGCTGGGAAAAATACACTGCCATCTTCTTCCTTTCCTCATCCTTGAATTTAACACTCATTACAGTCCACCATTTATGAGCAGGCATGCCTTTAACAACTGAATCAGTAAACATAGCTTTAGGATAAAAGTCGGCGTCTTTTATTTTAAAGAGCAGAAGTCCGTTCAGGAAGTTGGGATGTTGTTCAGCAAGCCATTCTTCAGCTTCAGTTTCATATTGTTCGGGTAGAGGTTTATCTGTTAGGCGATAGACAATTTGATTAAAAAATAACTGACACACGAGGCTTTAAACTTACCTAAATATTTTGGATCGGTCAAATATGCAACATAATGAAATGGTTGCATTGCCTCCCGAAATTTAGAAAGAACATCATCTTTGTAATGTTGCATACTATCACTTTCCAATAACTTAATCCAGCAATGAACTGCATCAGCTAATGAGACATTGTCACCCTGTAGCGTGTCTAAGGCAGTACCAACAACTTTTAACTGTTCTTCTAAATCCAGGGAATTTTGGTAGATATTAAAATCGTTAATTTTTCTTTTAATGGGCTCTATAATTTCTTGCGGGTGTTCTTTTATAATTTCTCTATATGTGAAATAATTTTGATTGTAAGTCCTTACACAATCTAATTGGGAATTCCACCGTGTATCGTTTGGAATTTGGGGCATTTTTCCATTTTTCTCACGTAGCCAACCATGCGGTTGATGATGATTTCTCCAATAAGTTTGTATTTCAATAATATGTTTCAATACTGTTTTTGGCGAAATAACATTTTCTAGTAAATTCAAGTAATGTGAGCTGCACCCATAGGTTAAAATTTCCGAATACGTTTCCCGTATATTTCTTCTTAACATCTTCATCTTGTTCTCATTATCGGTGACTAGCGCGAATACATCTTTGTTGTATTTTCGTTTACAATCTTCAATGGACTGTATGGCCAATTGAGTACAGTATTCTGCTGTTTTCTTTTCTGCTCCACAGTCCGTGGCGGAGAGTAAATACGAATCTTTCCCAGTATGTATGCTTGTTGCTATAATAGGATCATTTCGCACATTTGACCATCCATCTTGTAAAATTGTTAAAGGACGATTACTATTACAAAGGTCTTCAATCATCTGAAGATCAATAGATTCGCTGACGTCGTCTAGTAATTTTCCTCCCAAATCTTTCCTGTTAGGACACTTATAACCGGGTCGTAATTCATGAATCATATCAATGAAACTGGGATTGTTTGCTACGGAGAATGGAATGTTACAAGAATAGAAAAATAATGCTATTTTTCTATCCAATTTTTTTGCTGTCTCGGCATTTGTTTTAACAACATGGCCGGTGATCGATTTTTGTTTTAAATTAAGATGTGTCTTCTTCTTTTCAAAAGGTTTTGAAGTCGGCGTTTCATGGAGCATTATATCTGTTGTTGCTGATGCACTTGTAGTGGGTGGCTCAACAATTTCATTTGTAGCTGTATGTGAATGTGCATCGCAATCCATAAGTTTGGTCTCTGTATCACTTTTACTATCTGCGTCTGCAGATGCAGAACTTGCACATACAGTTTGCAAATATGTTCTACATTTTTTCAAATGTATCCTCACATGCTCAATTTTCAATCTTCCAGCACTTATTACAGTTTCACAGTATTTACACTGTTTCTTCATTACATTCACGTGATTCCAGCTACAATCTTTCCTTCGACCACCACCATGATTTGAACCACCCACACCCACCCTCCCATCCACTTGTTCTGTCGTGGTCTTTTTCTTTTTAGAAAAATTAGTTTCTGATTGTGCCCGTTTTCCTTTTCTGCTGTTTGCCTTTGCATGTTCATCAGGTTCATCTCCACCTGATGATAATGTATCTGAATCGAACTCAATATTTTCTATAGCAATAACCTCCGCGTCCCTATCTGTGTCCATATGCGTATTTGCCATCATCTGTAGTGTAGAAGAAATTAAGAATAAGAATGACGCACCACTATTGACATACCTGTTTATTTTTCTCAAGAATTATTTAATTAATATCTTTAGGTACCTATAGATAATGGTACTTGTAAGCTGTAATCTACACAAACACACTTCACACCGACAACGATTACGTAATAAGCTTACACTCAGAGTTAAACATAAAGAAAGAGCACGCGAACGCTATAACGCGAACGTTTGTTTTGATTTTTTTAACCAACATAACCCTAAACAGTTAGCTTTGAGGTGTTTGTTTTATCCTGTAACAGATGGCGTGGTGATAATGCGGACGATATTCATACAAAATTGCCAATTGCCCAGAAAAACCCAATTGCCCAGAAAAACCCACAAAAACCTCAAATACCCAAAAGCCCATGGGTTTTTATACAAAAACCCGGGTTTTTGCCAACCCTGCCAAATTGACTTACCTTCAATTTGCTATTGAAAATGTTTGAGTATATATTTCAAAATAATACACTTACCATTCTCATATGATCAGAGGGTATCCAAACTAAACTCTAGCGCCATCTAAACGGACTAAGACACATTTGTTGAATATCTCTTCGGTTTCACAGAAAATGTTTGCAATAGTGCGAAATAATGTACTTCAATTACTTTTAAGATGTTATCCAGCTAAGTCAGCCCAGTTCTCGCATCCATAAATCTGCAAACAAAATAAAATTCCCAAGCTGCAGAGCTTGGAACGCAATGAACTGATCAATGCTTGAAGGGCAATGCCTTACTCGTAGTAAGCTCACAAGTACGATACTTAATCGGCCAACCGCTTATTCTTCACAGAGATCGCAAGATACAAGTGACCACATATATTCCGGAAGGGGAACGGGCAAAAACAGTTATTGATTAATACGCAACCGTGGACCGAATCTTGTTAACAATTCTGATGCACGACTCAGTTACCTAATTTCAGCAAATGGAAATGCTGTCAAAAGGTGTCTGCAAATTAGTTCAAGGTTACCCATATGCGAATGTAAAACGTATCCGGAATTATACTACACTGGCTCACTAGATGCAGCAGCACCCATCGTTTGATGGTAAGAAATCCATCACTATTCCTGTATTATCATGCCCCGGCGGTTAAAGAGAACCACATGCATCGCATCTTCGACCAAGGTTGGCCTTTCTCCATTCTGCGTACCATTACTTTACAGAACGCTACTTTAGATTTAAAGATGAATTGGCTATTTCGGATTCGTCCAATTTCTAGCTCTATTTCTTCAGTATGGTAATTAACTGATAATGCAATTTTTGAATATTGTTTTAGCATCATCGTGAATTAAAGAGTTAAATGTTTCAAAGAACGAAACCAATTCTTGATACTGACCGGAGAAATGTGGTAAATTCAAGCGCGGTAACTGAATTGCTGATCCTTGTGATTGCTCAATTAACGATGCAGAATTATTATTACTGACTAAACTGGGAGTTGCAGATGTGGACATTTTACTTAGAAATTCCTCGGCTTTTGTTGTAAGCTCGAAGTATTGGAACTCAAATGCATCACGTTCGTCCTTTTGTTGGACCGAATCGTCTAAATCTTCGATTTTATTTTGAATCGTCTTGAATTCGTCCCAGCTGCCCTCAAATTTCGTTAAGCGAATTCGAGTTTGCGTCAAATTACTGCCGTCATTTAATGAATCACAATAAGTTTTAAATTTTGTTACCGTAGCCTTAATGTGACCACGCGCCTTAATTAATGATTTAAGGTCGTTAGCCATTTTAAGTATAAGTAATTGGATTTCTGCAAGTTATTTGTCTGATTAGAACCCAATGTTAAGTTTGATTAGATGTACACCTTGCATGCGACACAGTGGAAAGTATTAAAGGAGAATATATAAAGAGATATCTGACCTTTACTCCGATGCCACGATGATTACGCACTGGTGGAGTTACTTGATTGATTAAATATCCATAGCGTTTTGGATCATCCGTTGCTCGAATGGACCAATGTTTGAGATCTTGGATCGATCTCCGACTTCGAACGAAGGACCAGGTTATTGAATTTGAATAACAAGCATGATTAAATTAAAAGTGTATAAACTTGAATTTATCATGTTAAGATTACTGGATTACATTATTTGCTAAACGACCGATCCCGGCGCGGTTCAGAATGCGCCTTGTTCAAAACTGCTTAAATTAATATCCTCGAAAACCCCATGTAATGTGGCCATGTGTTTATGGTCCACCTGGTCACGCATTCGGAAACATAAATTAGGAAGTTAGGGTGACAAGTTGCTCAATATTCTAAACAGTTTCGACTGCCAAGTGTTACGTTATAGTTTAAAAAAATCAAAGAAAACTTGGGAAGCGTGTTTTAATATATTTGCCCTCAAATTACGCCGCCAAACCAACTTGTGCCTCTTGGTTCCATAGTTAAAGTTTATAGGAGACGAGTCCCCACTTCCGCAAATCAGCCCTTCAGTTGTGTAACATCCACAATGATATTCACAATTCTCATATTATGGCTCCAGGCCATCGAAATGGGAAATGTGTGGCCAGTGTAGTAAAACTACGGCAAAAAGAACGACTTTTTCACTGTTTTTGGACTTTTTAGGCGCCATCTTGATATTTAGGCCCCAGGCATATGGCGCTACTGGAGGTCCCCACATACTTAAATATTAACTTGACCATATGAATGCATATTGGACGCCGGCAACCGGTCAGAAAGAAAAAAAATGATGCATTTTTGACGTTTTTAAGCGGAGTTTAGGCATTTATGCCCTTAATATGAATACGAAAGTGTGCCTAAACAGTGTCGTCGTGTGTACTAGATGTTATTCTACCCTTAAACTACTCAAAACGTTCAGTGGCTACCTTGTGGGCTCGAAATAACCGAAAAAACGGCAATTTTGGCCGCCATCTTGGATTTAAGGACTTAAATGTCAAAATCGGGTCTGGCAACAGGGCGCATCGTTTTCAGCGGGGGCAAATTAGTATAGAACCGCCTGTTGCAAGTTTGTAGCACAAAACGCCTTTAGACATGATTTAGAGAGCCTTTTTCAGAAATGTCTCCCTGACTACAGGACGTCGTGGCCCGGAAATATTCAGGTGCCGTACCATCGCTACTCCATAATTCGGATGGGCACCTTTTTTTTACTCCGGCTAGGTAAAGAAGACCTATAAGAGCTCGTATTTCATCAAAACACGTGTCTGGGCAATCGCTCGCTCGATCGTACCGTTCGCGCATCAATTTCAAATAAATATTTGTGCATGTAACCAACTCTTCTATTACACTGTCTGGGAAATATAGGTCCCAACATTCCAGCGGTGATTTTGCATTTTTTGCTATAGCCTTTACAAGTGGAACGTGGGATACAATATTATGTTTCTTCGTACGCCCAGTGACAGGTGGACAATGTTTGAGCCATCTTTTCCGTAAAAATATCCTGCTTTGCGGAATTTATGAGGTTCGTCTTCCTCCATTGCTTCATCATTTGACACATGGGATTGCTTCGAATTTGTATCATGGGAACTATGTTCACTCGCACAGTCACTTTCCACATCGTCTGTTCTATCGCTTGCATCTTCTATATCCTCTACTTCCTCATCTTGCCGCACATCTAGAATATAACCCAAAAATGTACTCTTTGTATAGGTACATATTATATAAAAATACATTATTTACTGTTATTTCTTTCCTGATCGGTCTTCAGCAGGGCTAATTCCACTAATTTTCTTGCACGACTCATTATTATAACACGAAATGGCCCTTGTAAACCAATTAAGCAATATTTTTAAATAATGAAGGTCCTTTCTTACTTTACAAAGATTGATTGAGGATATGAATAATGGGTATGAGTTTACCTGTGACATTAACAAATTTATTACAAGTTTTCTACATCTGTGAGAGAAAATCTCATAGCGCGACCAAACGCGGGTTAAAAGTGATTGTAATAATGAGGATCCTTCAATATTTCGTTGTATTGGTTTATTTAACTATCTCATTTATATATTTTTCTCAATCAGTATTCGTCTTTGTAATCAGTGCTGTATTGGAGGGAATACGGCGGCGGCGGTATACGCCGTATACCTTTAGTACAGACTTGAGCACGCACGCGAATGAGGCAAGCCGAGCACGAATGAGCATACTAGTGTGGGCGCGTCGGTCCGAGGCAGAATGAGGAAGAAAAATCTGCCTCGCCTTGTGCGCCGTATGTGCTCGGGGCGAGCCAAGTGCTGTCGGTCCATCAAAGAGATTCGTGCTCAGTGGGGACGTCTTTTCGTAGCGCGTGCACTCCAACGGGAATTTTCATTTAAACATCAGCAGTTCTGTAGGTAAGTTCGCATACATAAACAATAAAATTTGATTTCAATTGAGAACTCGTGTGGTGAATTTCAGCAATACCTAAATTGAATATTTACGATGCAGTGGGACCAGGAAACGACTATACGCCTCATTAGTGAATATAGGAAAAGAGAAATTTTGTGGAATCCGCGGAATGCAACATACTACAATAAAATTAAAAAAGAGGATGCGTGGAGCGAATTAGCAGCAGAAATAGGGAGCAATATCGAAGAAGTAAAAAAGAAAATGGACAGTTTGAAAGGATCTTATAGGCGAGAAAAGGGAAGAGTCAAGAAAACCGTGGCAACAGGAAAAGGTAAACAAAAATTCTTATTGAAATTTCTTAAACACGGTGGTGCTTTTCTGCGTATGTCTTCCTTATTACTTACACCGTCTATTCTTAAAAATACTTAAATGACATAAGGACTTACGTCTATTTTCCAGGACGAGAAGAAATTTATGAATCGAAGTGGTTCGCCTTTCGTCATATGCAGTTCTTAGATGATAAGGATGAACCAAGGAATACTTTCAGTGTAAGTATCTACTTTGATTTATTTTGCATCATCCTCCCAGTAAATTAAACCAAAAAAAGGGTGGTTAAAATTTTTTATTGAAGGCAATTTACTTACATTCATTTACGCGTAATCGTTTTGCCAAGGCACCGTACCAACATTGCTAAAATATTTGGAAAACTCCTCCCTGATTTCTTGCGAACTTAATTTGGCTCTTCGAGGTACATTTTTTAAGTCTAGTAAGGATGTAGCGCCCTGTTGCTCCCTTCTCCAACTCCCAGGTTTCAATCCCCCATTGAATTCCGTATCTAATAATGATGGTGGTGAATACAGGTCTCTCGACGTCTTACTTCGCCGTAAGAAATTGTGCAAGCACACTGCAGCCATTACAACAAGCACTGTCTTTTCGGGTTCTAATAGTAAGGGTTTTCGCAAATCTCGAAAAACACTTGACAGAATGCCAAATGCATTTTCCACAACTCGACGCGCCCTGCTTAGTCTGTAGTTGTAGATACGTTTGGGTGATGCTTTTGGATGCACACCTACATAGGGTTTCATTATGTTGTCGCTCAGGGGAAACGCGGCGTCTGCTACAAAAACGTAAGGTACGCCTATCCCTCCTTCCACCAAACTTGATAGTTGAGGTAAGTTTAAGTTGCCCCTGTCCATTCTTTTAAAAAGCTCACAATTTTTAAACACGCCTCCATCCGAAATGCGCCCTTGACAACCAGTATCCACAAAAATAAAATTGTAATCGGCGTCCACTACGGCCATTAAAACAATACTGAATTGTGATTTATAATTATAAAATTCGCTACCACTTGCGGTTGGAGCTTGCAATGTGACGTGTTTTCCGTCTATAGCTCCTATACACCTTGGAAAGTTCCACTTCTCCTCAAATTGTTGAGAAATCTTCTTCCATTCTTCTGCAGTTGACGGCATCTAAAAAAAAATGTAGCAGAAAGTTATATTTACCTCACAAATTCTAAGATAATTAATTCAGTACTAAATACACTAATTAAGAATTTTTAATGCAGAACGTGCAGTCTGAACATGATGACGACACAGAAGGGGACTCTGCGGATCATGACCTGGACGAAACTAACTCCGAAATGATTCAGGAGGTCAATGAAGAAACGGTAACGACCCAAGCAGCGGAAAATCGGGAACCATCAAATTTAAAGCCCCAAAAAGAGTTTAAGTCTCCACAAAAACGTTTTCTGAAAAGAGCAAGGACGGAAGAGGATCCACGTATTGAGAAAGCGTTTCAGTGCCTCCAAGAGGTAAACAATAAGTCAAAGGTACAAGTACAAAAAGATCAATGCAGCCTTTTTGGCGACTACATTGCCGACAAAATTCGTGCATTTGATCATCGACTTCGTGCCATTGCCCAAAATAAGATTAGCAATATTATATTCCAACTGGAAATGAGCGCGTATGAACCACAAAATAGTGATGTTACAACTCATACTTTTCCAAAAAATCCCGTTCAATGTATGCCTTCCCAAAATACTGAATTTTTATATTCCCAGCAATTCCATAAATCACAGCCACATTTACGCCAGCACCATTTAGCCGCAGTTTCCTCGCCAACCCCACCATACGAAAGTAGCGCGTCCACACCTACAATCAATTTACCATCGCCTTCTTCACAAAATTCTGTACGAAACCCTTCGCATCAATTCCACAATATCCCTTCACATTTACGCCAGCATCACGTAGCTACAGCTTCTCCAACCCCCTCCCAATACTCATATGAAAGTGAAGCGTCCACCCCTCTGTGTAATTTATCCTCGCCTTCTTCTTCCCAAAATTCTTCGCCAAATCCTTATAATTTAGAATAAATTCCATAACAATAAGTTTTACACACGAATACTAATATTCCCATTTTCAATAATAAATACAGCTTAATAGTATATAAATTGTGTTTTATTACTTACCTTGACGTAATTGATAAGGGAATCAATTATTGCCTGGCACACTTCCGGAACAATTTCTGATATCAGTTGTTTCGATATTTTAAAAAGGTATTGCAAGCTGGTGTACGAATCGCCAGTTGCAAGAAACCTGAGAGTTACTGCTAACCGTTCCTCCGGAGGAACTGCACGTCGAAAAGTTGTATCTTTTTTGGATATTGTATCTTTAATGGCTCGTAACAGAAAATTGAAATCATCTTTGGACATCCTTGAAAAATTTCGAAATTGACCACTTTGTTTATCCGCCAGCAAATCATCTAACAACGTAGTACTTGCAACATTTCTTGATAAATACAAGTTTGATGACCATCGATGTCTTCGCCTCTTTTTGCTGTCCTTTTTTTTTTTAATAAACTGTACATTACAATGAAACTAGCGCTAGCAACCGCCACATCAACGTTATCCATCTTTGAACGTACGCAGCGCCCGAGCACGACTGGAGCAGCTTCGCACACAGTTGCGCATCTTGCCTCGTGCGTAAACAAATTTCAGAAGCAGAACCGAATGCCTCGGCTTGCCTCATTCGCGTGCGTGCTCTAGTCTGTACGCACCTTTATGAAAATTTTTTACACCACTAGGTATACTATTTTGTTCTTGATATAAACTTTTGAGATAATACATTTTTTGCGTATATCCTTTGATGTTTTTACTAATACAGCACTGTTTGTAATATGGATAAGATAAGTAGATAAATAACTATTTTAAGATGTATCTAATCTGTTATACCTCTTGATGTAGGTATAAATGCGTGTGCAGCCTGTCTCATAGACAAGTATTATCATCATTTTGAAGACATGTATTTTAAACTTGTTTTGGCTTGTGTTGGTTTCATGTGTCTAGGTATTGCCTCAGGTATGTAACCACACGTTTATAACTTTATGCACAAACGGTATCTAGTTGGAAGCCTGATTTGCTGCCACACCCACTAACGTTAAAATAATACTTTATCGCCCTCTGGCTACAAGTATTTAGAATTAACATCGCTGTACTGATCACAAAATTCAGTTGGGCTGTTTAAATTGTTCGGTAGTAGGTTCCTTTACTAGGAATTGCTGTTCAGAATTATAGTCGAAACCGAAGAGGAATTTTGATAACCTTCAGTTTTAGGGTTCATCAGGAAGTAATCTTGAAGTGAAAGAGTAAACTTGAATTACATGGAGTTGAGATAGGTTCAAAACCACCACACACTCTGTCTGTACCGTAAGAAGTTTTATCATTGAAAATATGCCTGTTTGCATATAATTTTTTAACTGTTGAGGAGTATCAAGTTGATTGTCACCAAATCTAAATCGGTTACTTATACACGTGGTGCTTGTAGTTAAGTGTATTTAATCAGATTTCATCATATTTGTTACATAACAAACTTGTTAAGAGACTATAATACAAAACAACAATAAATCACTTGAGACATGATATGGCCAGATTAATAGATTCGAATTCGCAATTAAAGTACTTCAAATGGAGATAGCTTTATTCTTGGAGATAAGAGAGATAGTAAAGAAGTTTACGAATCTCTATATTATAATCATAATTTATGGAAATTCTTTATATTTTGCTTACAATTCAAGTAGCACTTCCTGTCTTATTTCAGCCATTACCCAGTATTGATAACAATTGACTAACAAACAGCTGCAACGCACCCAAACCAATGTAAACAAAAGTTTTTGAGTGTTTCTTTCCAGTGGTATCAATTGAAGTGGTCTTAAAACACACTAATCCAGTAATATTTTCAATCGAAATCGGGAACATCATTTATAATAATCCTGCATTATTTTATCCAAAACCGTTCAATAAAGAAGTCGCAACTCGATGGAAACCTCGTCTTAAGCATCTTTGATTTGTTTCATCTAGGTAAATGAATTTATAATTGTCACAGTTACAACCCATTTCGGAAAACGTGTTTTAATACTAATAATTTGCTCATTGAGCGGTTTTAGATAACATCTTGTGATTGATGTACGACTCCATGTAGTAATAGGTCATTAATCAAGTGTGTATTCTATATATTTAGAACTACCTATTATTAAATAAAAGTTCCTCTTTAGGCGATCGATTTCGACTTTATTAACGTCATCATCAGGCCGTAGCGTCTAAGAAGTTATTATTATTATATTTTAACTTCTTAGACGCTACGGCCTGATGATGACATTAATAAAGTCGAAATCGATCGCCTAAAGAGGAACTTTTATTTAATAATAGGTAGTTCTAAATATATAGAATACACACTTGATAACATCTTGTATTTGCGTGTGTAATTGGTTATTTATCCGCTTGAGAAATTTTCTCGCCTGAATAAAGAACCTTATGACACAAATAAATGGCTATTAAATTTCTTTAAACGTATCGTATTTTAGGTAAATACTCATACAAGTGCTGGGAGTGCTATGGTATGTACGACCACGATCCTAAAGCCGTTGACGACTGTCGCCACTTTGTTAATGTTACCGAAACTAGCACTTGTGCAGAAGGTGGGATGTGCGTATTTTATTATGGAAGTAAGTAATATGTTATCTAATACACATATATCATCTACCTCTTTTTAGAAGTTAAAAGAAACGGGCAGGCCGTTGTTAGAACGGGAAGAATGTGTTCTCTATCTTCTTGTTATAGCAACAGCGGATGGAACGCAGAAAACATATACTGTTCGGAGTGCACAGGCAACTATTGCAATTCTGATAAATATTGATCAATAAGACCAAGCTTGTATAAGGATCTTTCTGCATACTACTATCACTAATTATGTTATTGTTCTTTTTTCTTTGTCATTATCCTCTAAACTTAAAAATGGTATAGTTATGTGTAATATACGTATTTACAGCAACAGCCATTGAAATCCGTTTCTTAAACACCTTATTCCTTCGTCCTCGCCGACACTACTTCTGACATCTCAAGGATCTGTAAATACGTGATGTGGCTGATGTCAAGGCAAGATCTCCATAACCCGAAAATATTAGCTCTAAGTGTTTGAGATTTTGCGAAAAGATGGCGTAGACATTTTATTCAGTTTTGAATTTGTCACCGCTCCGCATCCGTTGGACACGCTGAAAGAGAATCAAAACGAACACAAAAGCAATTTGGACAAAATACGTAGCCTGGTCACAGCGGTGATCAAAAACATCTGTGGCCGGCCGCTCGTCGGTGTAGGTCGAGGTCAAATTAAGAGAGTATGAAATCCCAGGCGCCAGAAGCTGTATAATATCAGATAACAGATCGAAGATGGCTCTGCTCCCGTTTCCAAGGCAGACGAAACTGGCTGAAGTCAGACCCAGGACACTAAATGGAAGTAAAAGAAAGTAGGAAAGATAAAGTAGGCGAAGAAAGAAGATGCAAAGAGTAAAACGCGGGGCGTTCTGGAACGCGGATGGGAACGGCACACATAGAAGTGTCCTTGCACACAAACGGAAAAGACAATTCACCCGAGTGAGTTTCCCTTTTTAGAAATCTGAAAAGTTTTGCGTGGCGTGTGACTAGTGTACGAGAGTTGCGTTTATAATATTTGTTGGTACCGAGAAATAATGCTTAATATTAAACGAAAAACGGCGATTATATGTGGTGTACTACTATATGTTGTTGTGAAAACTTCCTACGACTGAAACTACCCACACAACTTACCCTTGCTAGCTCAATCTCACAAAAACTCTTTAAAACACTAATCTCAGGGCCCGTAAAATGAGTCCGACCACCCCTTTGTTTCGTCCGGACAAGGGGTAGCAACTTCGCCAGGTCGGTGGCTAATACCTCCCTTAAATTCCAAATAAAATAATCCCTTGTTAACTGACTTCTGGAATGAAATTTAAGTCCCACCGATGATCCAAACCTTTTTACGTTACCAAACTCGTTGCACACTCGGGATAAAAAAAGAAAACTTTGAGAAACTCGAATCCTGACCTTTACGTAGACACACACAAATAATAAATGACAAACAAAAAAAAATAAAAATTTTATAAAGCTAAATTTACAAAATCTGAAAAAAATAATTTACACAAATAGAAACACAAAACCGTCTCAGACGGCGATTCTAACAATTAAATTAAAACAAAAATGACAGTACTCACGGTGCTAATCCTTTTTACAAATGCCCAAACTACCGATGCACAAAAAAACACAAACACAGCCCCAGGTATGTGCTGACACAGCTACTCCAACAGCTCCTCGGCGATGCTGGCGTTAAACAAACGTTCCGCCTACTCCAGATGTTGTAAAATACAACGCAAACGAACTTTTGCTGCCAAAATGGCATTATTGTACCGCTCGTTTCCCTTCAACAAACTCCTTCCCAAAGACCTTCTTAAAACTCCTCGATGCCGGCGTAATCCACACGTTCCCGGACTTTCAAACAACAATAGACGAAGAATAAACTGGCGTAACTTTAGCAAACGCCGCTACAATAAACTTTCCAAAAATCTTCACATAAAACAAACGTAGGCTTCGCGAAACGGTACAATAAGCGCCTTCTCTTCGCTGTTCAAAACCATTCATACCCCAGTATCGTCAAATCTCGTTGCGACGCTTTTCCATGAAAAATTCGAATTTCGGGGCCGATAAAACTTAACGGTCGACTCCGCGGACCAATACCATAATTGCATAAATAAAACTATTAACGATCGTAAATCAACTTAGACTGGCACTTTTACGAGTTTTAACACGCCAAAATTCTTATGAAATTCGCTCTTAAACAACTAAAAGTTTCCTTATCTAAAGTAACACTTGTGCAAAGCGCGTGCACTCTGCTAACTTCCACGAATTTAACAATAACAAGACAAAATTTATTACATTTAAACACACTAATTACAGATTCGATTTTCCCAGACTTAAGTTTCTTAATTAACTCCGGCCGAGCATTAATTGAACTAAAACAACGATCCTCTGCATAAACATGGGAAATAAACTTCTTTCCAGAGTAAATAAATGCCGTCCAACTGCGGCCTAATAAAAAAACACAACAATGTATACGTATCACAATTAAGACAAAAGAAGATAAAGAACTGGTTGAAAGAAAGGGCGAGATATAGTCACATGCACATCCCGCTTCTGAGAGAACTTAGAGAGAATAATCCCTCTGATTTTCGTAATTGTCTAAGAATGGATTGTGCAACGTTTGACCATCTTCTCACTACAATATGTAGACCGGCATACGTAGCGGTAGTTACATGAAATATCTTGAATACCCCGGTTAGAAATACTACCTTGATTGCTCTTTGGTGGCTCATGTGACTTTCTTTTAGTTTTTAAACTGTTTTGCCGAATACCTAAAAATGTTATTAATGATTCAAGACGTGGAACTGTTTCATTGCCATCCACTTCGTTACTAAGTTTGGTCTCCCACTCGTTTGGAAATCTAGTTGACTTAGGGGTTTGAGACATTGCACATCATTTTGGTTAATGTTGATTATTTGGCTTAACGGCTACTAGTGGCGTACTAAAGGTTCACCTGTATGTGGTTATTAGTTGCGATAAAATTCCCACCTCTGTTAGTGCTAGGTCATGGTTTTCATTGACTAACGTAGTAAATGAATCGTAATATTTTTTTTCTACGGTCACGTATAAACTTCTTGGTTTACGCATTTCTGGCGATGCGTAAACAAATCTATTACGATATAGTAACTTGTTTACACACTCCATGGTTGACACCTTATCATGGAATGATCCCAGCTATTCCACATTATTAGTTTAGTTACTTTGACATGGTTATGTTTGCAGTAGTGCCATATTTATCTACCTGTCACTTTAATTCAAAAATTTGAATCAAAGATTCAAAATAAAATTTAGACGTTAATTTTTGTAATACTAAACGAGTTTTTGTACTTTTAATAGATTATTTGGTATGAATACATAGGTACACATCAAAATTTAAACACAATATAAAATTTGCCGTAGAAATGGAAGATTTAGATGCCGTAGAATACGAGAGCTGTACGCCTCCCGATGTTGCTGAAACTGCAAAAAAAGTTACCCTAGAGTTGTTGCCTTCGAAATCACGGAAAATTTATGAAAAACGTTATGACGAGTTTATTAAGTGGTGTAACTCAAATAGGATAAACAAGTACTCGGAGAATGTGCTCCTTACATATTTCTCAAAGCAAGCCGAAACGTATAAGGCTCCGTCACTTTGGTCATTATTTTCAATGTTAATGGCAACTTTATTGGCGAAGAATGATATAAACATAGGAACATATTCCAAATTAATAGCTTTCCTTAAACGAAAAAGGGTTGGATATCAACCTAAAAAGTCAAAAATCCTAAGTTTCGAACAAATAATTCACTTCCTAAGTCAAGCTCCTGATGAACAGTTTTTAATGATAAAGGTGGGTCGAAATCTTTCATACCTATAGACGGCAGCATGCAAAAGTCATAAACTCTTTTAGGTCGCATTAATCTTTGGAATTTGCGGAGCCTGCCGACGTCAAGAGTTATATAACTTGAAATCAGAAAACATCACGGAAATCAATAATTCTCTCATCATAAACATTGAGGATACTAAGAGGCAAATTCAGAGATTCCACTTAAGGCGCACTCGCACTTAAGTCACACTCATACTCAACTTTCTGATTCAATAAACTTTCTATCTGCCCTTACACAGTAAAGGTGAGGGTAACCTTAGTAATATATGAGTGGTAGACAAGGGAACCAGTTAGTACACTTATTTGACACTTATCTGAATGATCCGCATTTTTGCATTTAAAATTAAGTAAATTTGCTGCTTATTTGTTGAAATGGTCATGGATGATTTTTGGGAATTTGTACAACATGTGGAAGATGATAACAATTATTTGCCAATTCCAAGGTAAATTTTTAAATTAAGAGCTTATTATTATGTATAGTTCTGAATTAATGAACAATAAATATAAATAGTTAATATAACTGGTATAAGCTCACAAAATAGCAATAATGTAGGTACTTAACTGCGTAGCTCATTTTTTTAAATTGATTGTTGTACTGTACATGTATTTTTAGTTTTGTTTTTACTCCGTAGGGTTATAATAAGAGACATGCAAAATCCATTGGAAAGATACACCAATACAGAATTGTTGCAAAGGTTTCGGTTTTCACGGCAGACCATTGAAATGGTCTTGCTGCCGTTGATTTATCCTAATGGAAATGCTCCTGATGACATGCGAGGATTACCTATACTTCCCATAATTAAACTCTGTACAGCTTTACGGTTTTATGCTGTTGGTAGTTTACAGGTATCTAATTTTACCAACTAGGTAATTTGTAGAAATGATCATTACATTATTATATATCAGAGACCATGTGGGGATCTACATAGCATAAGCCAGTCAAGTGCATGCAGAATTATTAGAGAGGTTTCTGAAATTATTGCTCGGAATCTTGGACAATATATAAAGTTTCCTGATAATCCACACGACATGACCAGAAACAGGGAAATGTTTTATGCAATGGCAGGATTTCCTGGAGTAGTAGGTTGTGTGGATGGAACACATATCGAAATAAAGAATCCAGGTGGGCCTACAGCAGAGGTGTATAGAAATAGAAAATCCTGGATGTCGTTAAACGTGCAAGCTGTTGCTGGGCCCCAAGCAGAATTTTTGGACATCGTTATCCGTTGGTCAGGGTCGGCACATGATGCTCGGATATTTAGAAGCAGCTCAGTGGCACTAAAGTTTGAGCAACGACAATTGGAAGGTATTCTCCTTGGAGATAGTGCATATGCACAACTCTCATACTTTTTTACACCCATGAACAACCCACTGACACGAGCGGAGAGAAGGTACAATGTTGCCCAGAAAAGTACCAGAAATGTAGTAGAAAGAGCATTTGGCCAATGGAAGCAAAGGTTCCGTTGTCTAAGCAAGTGCTTAAATTACAATGTTCGAGCAGTTACTAGGATAGTAGCCGCTACAGCTGTATTGCACAATATAGCTGTAAAAGGGCGGGAACAATTTGCCCCGGATCCACATTTTCTGGAAAGAAATGTTCCTGTGCCACCAGCAACTCGACGTGCCACTGGAGCAATAATACGAGCAGCCTTTATTGAACGGCACTTTACACATCAACGATAATAATCAGACCATTATTAAATGAAATGATGTTATGTAGAGTATAATTACTAATGTTAATTTTAAAAAATACATTCTTCCATTTTAGCTGTGCGGAGCTTCTCCTGTTTCAGTTGCTCTTTTGCTACTTCGACCTTGACCCGCTGCTCCTCCAAACGCAACCTTTGCTCTTCTAACCGCAGCAGGTGGATCTCCTGATCTTGCGCCTCCAACTGTTGGTTGCGACGCAATCGAACCTCCAATTCCCGTTCTATGCATCTACCCCTGGAAACATATGTTGACTGTCTTTTATTGGGGGTAGCAGTGTTGGAGACAACAAGTGAACCGCTGGTGCTAGGCGCTTGCGCAGTTACCAAGAGGTGTAAAATATTGTTCTCATCGACAGTGTATACCCTAGATCCAGTTACACCCTCCGGTGAAATTATGGTGTCGCTGTCGATGGTATCTTTAATTTCAATATCTACAGTATCGAGAATATCGTCGACGAGGTCCCCGTCGCTACTCTCAGGAGGCTTGTATGTTCCTCCACCGGTTTTCAACCGCAACTGTTTTTCCTTAGTAATCTCTTTTCTGCGACGACCCTTCATGTTTTCCCAGCATTTTTTTAATTGCTCAATAGTCCTATGACTGTTTCCTGAAATTGCATTGTATTCTGCAGTCAGCCGCACCCACGTCTTCTTCTTGTGTGACAAGCTAATGCAATCTGTTTTCTTGCATTCTATGATGCTCTGGTACTTCACAACAAGTTCTTTCAAACACACCTTTTCATCGGCAGAAAAACATACCCGTTTCTCCTTCTCTTCGCCCATTGTCACTAATCAACTAATTTTAATCTAACTAAACTATCAACTTACGAACAAAGAACAGTATAAATAATGAGATTATAGAGTACGAATGTGTAATTCAACCGCATGTGACAAGCCAGCAGCACTTGGCACGTTTCAACTGCCACATCTAGGCGCTGTTGCCAAATATTTTACCTACTCGACTCAAACTTACATGAGGGTGTGGAGTCCTTACTTTATGAATCTGGTTTATAAGTATAAGGCTTTCTCAAACTTCACTAAGGGTGACATGAGTGTGAGCTAAGTTGAGTTTCAGTGACATCTCTGAATTTGCCTCTAAAACTTACAAACCTAGAAGCTAGAACATTTACAGTCATAAATGCAGATAACATTGACTATTCAATTCATCTGACATTTGTCACATTTCGACCAGTGAAATGCCACAATTTCAAATTGCTGAGCCAATGGGAACAAATTATAGTGATAATTCCACGTGTGGTAATTTCAGCGATAATTCCACTAGAGAAATAGTGACAATTTGAAACGAATGAAGTTACTTTTATTCTGAATACAAGTTACTTATTACAGTTAGAGGAATAAAAAGTACAATTAGAAAAATTAACAGTCTTGCAGTTTTGCACTAAGGCTCCTGAAGAAGAAATTGAAGAATTGCTATCATGTACAACAATTCTGTTTGTTTCATTGTTGTGGGCAACGTCTCGGTTTTCCCTCATCTTCTCCACAATTGATGTATGGTGATTGCTATCAAGTTGAAGATAGGATTTTATCGAACTAACACTGCTGTGGCCAGTTATTTTTAATAATTGATTTTCTCCTACGCCTGATTTTGCTAAATTGGACACTGCTGATGATCGTAAGGAATGGTTCGTTATTTTCCTCCTCTTTATATCTAAACCGGTCTCTTCAGCAGCATGTTTCACCCATTTAGTAATTTCGTTAATACCGACAGGAGAGTTTTTGTACCAATTGCTGCATTCGGTATTTGTCCAGTATGGATTTGGTGTCAAAAAAAATCTGTCCGTTGTAATATTGTCACCTCGTTTTTTCACAAGTAAATGGTACAATCTGAATTAAAAACCATTGATCATGATTACTGTGATTGTTCTAATTAGAAAATACTTACCGCACAGGGCATACAGCAGATTGCGTCGTATTCGGAATTAACCATTTACTCTCGGTAAGTGGTTTTGCTCCGCCTTGCGCAGTTTTTGAAAAAATAGGATTGTACTCAATCCTTCCTGTTGGAGTTCCGGTGTTATCAAGTTCTTCATTGAAAAAATGCGTCAAACAGCGAGCTCCTTCTCCACCACGCCAAGCAAGTTCGTACGACGCTACCATAAAGAATTTCTTTTGTAAACCATCAGGGGTCTCTTCGTTAAATTTTGTAGTTAGAGTAGAACATTCTTTTTCAGTAAGAGACGCCGCGCTCCTTTTCCTTTTCTCTGGCAACGCCTGAAGGGTTTTTCGCATTACATCCCTGGTATCCCTAGCCGTTTTAAATACGAGGTCAGTAAATGGGTTGAACTGAATATTCCATTTATTGAAGAACATTTCTTGCACCATTTTTGCCGTTACATTCCACATCTGCTTTAATACACCTTCTTTGTAACTAGACCCATCCTGTTTCTTCATATTAGCGGCCCAACTTTTTAAAATATTATTAATTTCAAATAAGGACGTTGTCCTATCCAGTTTATAATTCTTTTCGTCCAAAAACTTAGAAAACTGATTCCACACAGAGTCGCGAGATTTTTTTGTGTTGACTGGAATATTTTTCTTAATTTGTTGATCTATTTCACTAACGGGTTTGTCACCAAATCTTTTAGTTTGATTGCTCATCGTAACTAACAAGCTTGGAGCACAATGGAATAAAATCAAGCAAAATGAAACTTAAAGTAGTTAGAGCGCCTAGGTAAAAGTAACAAGAAGTTGATGAAAATTTGGTCACTTATTCTCTGAGAGACGCACTTTCCAATGGTCAAAATAAAAAAGAGATCCTATGTGCCGTTTCTGAGATATTTGACAGTAAAGACAGGGTATTTTAACATGGGCTCTTATGGACAGACTCGGTTTTTTTGTACTAGCGAAGGTGTTTGTATCAAGACTTAAATGAGATGGGTCTCATTCGAAGCGAAATTTTGTGACGAATCTAAATATGCACGGAAAAGTACAGGTTCATGATGAAATAAGGAAGATATTTGCCACCGGCGCGCTATACATTTCGCGTTCAAATCTGGTGACTTTTCCATCAGGTCTAGTATATCATTTCCGAAGCTTTTAAATGCAGGTAAAAGTAACAAGAAGTTGATTTCTGCATTCCCTCTTTGCACTTCGAGAGCGATCTTCTGGCGTAAGAAGGTGGTAGATCTTGGGTCTCAAATGGTCTCTTTTATTATTTGTCCTAATTGTTTGGTGAAGGTCAGTGCTTCCTGTCCCAACACTGCACACACCACTTGACTCCAATCCAATAGTGAAGAAATGTTTGTTTTCTAAAAGTGTGTGATATTTGGTTTTCTTATCTGACCCTGCTTTGCGTATTATCGCTCCAACTCCCGATAGTGCTAGTCGTCGATATCCATGCGTGAAAGTATCTCTTATGGTAACATCCCAAGTTACATGTTTTCCTTGCGTTCATGGTTGCAATGTTCTTCCATCTGGACGACTTCTGTCATTGTGTATCATATTTGAAGGTTCCAAATTGACCGCAAGACCAGCCTGTCTCATTGATCTGCCTATAATGACGTTTATTATTATTATTATTATGGTCGTTGTTTCTTGTGAGAACTCAGGTTCAGGGGTCCAGCCTGGTTAACTAATCGCACGGATTAAAATCAAGTAACGATTAGTGTCTGTCTGTATGTCGCTCGTCTGGTGAAATTATGTCGGGTCCTAAAAAAAATTAAATAAATAAATAAAAAATTCACACACGCACATTGGAAATCTAGAGATAGTATGTAATTCATACGTACCAACATAGCTTATTATTGTGGTCGGTATTTCTTGTGAGAACTCAGGTCTAGCCCGGTTAACTAATCGCACGGATTAAAATCAAGTAACGATTAGTGTCTGGTGAAGTTATGTAGGGTCCTAAAAAAAATATTTAAAAATTTCACACACACACATCGGAAATCTAGAGATTATTATTATTATTATTATTATTATTAGTAGTAGTAGATCTGGATATCATTCCCGAAGCTTTGAAATGCAGTGGTAAGGTTGTTAAACAGCATTCATATTATTATTATAAATAATTTATTGTATAGTTACTAGAGCCATAAAATAATGTTTCTTTTCATGATGAAAGTTTACTTACATGGAATAGGCACCGTAATTGACTAGGAAACAATTTGTAATAATAATTGGAGCTGGATTGTAGCGCAGCTTTGGTAAGTATCATTCACCAACATAGTGTTGGTATGTCAAGTGAAAATATCTTCATTGAGATGTTGTCAATATGGTATTCAGTCACTGTTTTGAAGCTGCACCTTGAGAAGACAAAAACAAGAAATAATTAGATATATAGTTAGTTGGGATGGGTAGTTGTACTCATAGAATTATTACCACTATTTACCACTGAAGAAGAGCTCCAGTTTTTCTATTGTCTTTTTCTGTGTTGTGACGCGAGGTTTGCCGTCTACTTGGACTCCAAGGCAGACAGTTAGCCCCTGCACTTTGTTGGCGTCGTACTCCCTCTTCAGCTCTTCTATGGTGACACCTGCTGCAGCCATTTTTCCAACCATAGCCTTGCTGACTCCGACAGAAAAAAGAGCCTCAAGAGAAGGCATAATAGCTTTTCTCCTTTTGAGTTCAGCTTGACGCTTCAAGAAGTCTCTGAAGGTCACCATATTTTCTCGGACACGGGTTGGAGATACTTTGATGGATGACTGATTCAGAAGTCTATCGAGCACGGAGCAGTCAGTAACAGCATTGTGAGCTGACTTATGCAACTCCTCCCAGTATGGACCAGTGAGGTAGGTTTCCGCTAATGCTGACTGCTTGCACACTTTGCCTTGCTTCAAGAGAGGCATTGTATCAGAAAACCCGGCAACACACTCAGCAAAAGCTTTTACTTCACCGTGCTCTTTGAGAAACTTTATTAATCTTGGGGCATCAAAGCGGATGATATTGTGCCCAACCAAGAAGACAGAGTCGCCACACTGCTGCAGAAAATGTAACAGCTGGTTCACAATTTCTTTCGGAGGAGTTGTGGAAACACAGACGCCATGGTGATAAAGCTTCCCGGCTGTCATTTTGAGACCAGTCACCTCTGCTGCTTTCACATGAAAGTTCTTTTTGGGGATCATATACCAGGACTTCTCCATGCTTCCACACTTGACGGCAATTTGAACAATTTCATCAGCAGCTTGAAAACCAGTTGTTTCCAAATCGATGATGACTGGGACACAACTTTCAGTCGGTTGGAGAGCATCAGGCAACCAGGCACTGCCGACAGAAACCGCTGCAGAAGCACGTTCCATAACATTGCCCATGCCACTCTCGTATGTCAGGCCTTCATTATTGTTTGTTGCTTTCCAACTATTCTTCATTTTGTTATGGAGACGTCTTGCCTTGATGTCAGGCCTGGCTTGGGAAAGAGCTTTGACCATTTTACGGTGTTGAAGTTTCTCTCTAGTTCTGAATACAGAGGGCGACAATGTTGCTTTCTGGAAGACAGCCTCAGCGTACGTCGATCCCAAGTTCTTCTCACACACAGCTGCTGAGACACGGAAAAAGTTTGCTTCCGTGCCACAATAGTGTCTTGATTTGGGAGCACGAGTAACACACATGTGATTAAAACTCTCATTTTGTTGAGTTGAACCACAAGGAGCCAGTGTGTGGGCCATCGCTGCTTGTCCAGACAGAAGAACATGAAGAGCAGCACGCCATCCAGGTTGATCAGTCTCACTGAATTTCTTCTGCCTCGGAAGACCCTTGTAAACATAGTTGTCAGGGTCTTCTTTGGCTTTGCACCAGTCACTGCATTCTTCATGCTCTCCGAAGCTGTGATTCTCAATGTTCATGATGGCAGCACGAACGCCTTCGACATCGCCTTTGTTCTGTTTTATGGCATATCCAAGTTGTCTCTTCAGATGGGCAATGTGAGAAGTTTGTAGCCACTTATGTGTTGTCTTCAACTTGTAGAGAGCATTGTTGAAACCAGACATGTTATGGTTCAAGTCGACCACTTTCTCAATGGGTGTAGAACACTCTCTGAGAAGCGCTGCTATGGTGGAGGAGTCTCTGTCTTCGATGAACTGGCCAACCACAACCCCAGCTTCTTTCAGGTCTGGGTTGTGTGCTATCAGCTTTACAGCAGAATGCGGCTCCATGCCCTTGGCACTACCTTCATAATTTCTGGCACACTTGTGATCACCTTCCTTGGCACCAAGAGCACACTTTCGGCAATAATTACTGACAACATCATAGCCAAGAATCTTGTTTGAGTGAAGGCCTATCATCGATCGGCGACCACTGTGGCTGTTGTAAGAACGGCCATTGCCTCTCTTATCCCATCCCATGTCAAACTTGACACCAATACTGACAGCATCATTGAGGCTGAAGATATTAAAAAAACATATTAGAAGAAATTGTGCATACAATAATTGGATCTGAAGAGAAGATTTTGCGAATAATAATGCATACCTGACTCTGCGTGGAGTCGAATTTACATCAGTAGTCTCATTTTGAGGAGCAGGGTCATCAGGTTCGGAGTGAACTGGGCTAATCTCCATTGCATCCTTATCATTTTCGCTGAAAGTCCTGGAATGTACACAAATAGATTAGATAATGAAAATATTCTTCAAATATACAACACAATCAAACCAGTCCTCTGCTGACCCTGGACAAGCAGGGAGAAAACAAGTTAGTTCCCTGTTGGAAAAACCAGAACAAACATAGGCGACGAAAACCAAAAGGGAATTTGCATACCTTCGTGACTGGGATATGTCCATGGCCATGTTTTTCTCAACCAGAATAGCTTCTCTGCAGGACTCTTTGACCACTTCTGCTAGGACTGGCCCAACTCGGTCCTGGGCTCGGATTATAGTAGATCGATATACTGGAGGCAGATTCAGCACAGAGAAGAACTTGTTCAGTACCTCAACACCCAAACCACAGTCCTGTAGGCCTGTAAAGCAACCAAGATGGGGTTAGACCAACCTACAAAAAAGGAATTTCTCCCTGCGCGAAAGAGATAACAATTATAAAATCCATAGCTTGGTAGCAAGCAAACTTACCGGCAGCAGCTTTCAAGTTTACGGCGTACAGCGAATGGCCAAGGTCGTGGGGAGAAGGGACTTTCGAGTCTGTGCTGATCTGGTGCAGATCCAAACAGTTGTGGCATCTTACATGAAAGATGGAGGCCAGACCGTGCCGTTCCTCCTTTTCAAGAAAACGTAAGCTAAGTGCTTGGTCGCACAGATTACACCACAGAGACTCGCCAATAAGTTGAGGTTTTACAATACGGCGGCCTAGGCAAACAGACGCTCCTGGGTCCTGTTCCTGTTGCTCCTGCTCAGCGCGTATCTTTGACCGGGCCTCTTCCTCGCGACGCTTAGCGTGCCGCAGTAACTGAGCTAGGACAATTTTCTCCTTCTTCTGCTGCGCACTTTTCTTCACAAAAGGCATGGTGGCTTTCGGAAGGAACACCAAAACCAGCGATAATTATAAAGACACGCAACCGTCTTGTTGACACACTGATCCGCTCGAGATCAAGATAGCGGCTGGGGATCTCTGACGCCAACATCGAAAAACCAAATCCACTACACAGACTTCACGTAAAACGCCAAATTATTTAGTTTCCCGACATTTACATACGTCTCGCATACGTTTTGATTAAAAATAAATATATTCGTTTAGGATTTACCGCTTACACTGTGAATATTTAGTCGCGGTGTGTCGGCAAAAGTTTAGTGTCCAAAGGTTTGAAACAGGGCCGAAAACTAGGGAGACTAGTCAAGTTGACTACTGTATATACCTTTTTAAAAATCACGTATAACGTTTGCATTGTGCTGAGGTACAAAATACCACTCATATCGTATTTCTAATTATGTTTCCTTCATAAAAACATTTTTTTGGAGACTTTTGCCGTAAGTAATACGTAAGCCGAGTACATCGCTTGACTTCAGCCGAACGCGCTCTAACTACTTTAACCGTAATTTATTTTGACGGTTATTGTAGTCATGGAAATAATCCCATGGGCTTCGGGATTATTACGTGTAAATATATTAATTGGCGTGGATAATTACGCTTAAAGTTTCTTTTGATTCATTGAATAGTCCTCCGAATACCATTCGTAGTCGAAGTATTTGTAGATTATTTTTGAGCTGCTGCTCCACTCATGCTAGTTACGCTTTTTAATTCCACTCGCGCAAGCGCTCGTGGTATTAATCAGCGTAACTAGCATTCGTGACAGCACCTCAAAAATATTCGACAATACTTCGACTACTTATGGTATTATATATGACTATTTGGCGTATTACAGAAAATACTCGGCTTTAAGAGCAAACAAGTCTTCTGCAGAAAAACGCTTCTTTTTAAAATATCAGAACGGCCGTTGTATAAATCAGGTTGTTGGGATTAACACATTTGGTAATCTACCTAAAATTATTGCTTCATATCTAAAACTAGAAAATCCGGAACTATACACTTGTCATTGTTTTCGGCGATCGTCGACTACTTTGCTTGCCAACCGAGGGGCCAATCTTGTGGAAATCAAGCGGCACGGTGGATGGGTTTCGTCAAGCGTAGCAGAAAATTATATTGACGAATCAATTGCTAATGAACTTGAGACGACAGCAAAAATTCTGACGTCTAAGCCGAGCACTATTACTGCCAGTACTTCTCACCAAAGTAACGTTGTTAATATTCAACAACTAAACAGCGATGAGATGCAAATACCTTCCACACCCGGTGTCAATTTTTATAATTGTTCTTTTGGCACCTTTAATTTGTATAATAAATAAGTAATGTTCAATTTATTAAAATACATTTTTCTTGTGTTCTGGTAGTTTGTATAGAATATACCTTCTAACCTATAAAACGCAAAATAATATAAATAAGCTTTACACCAGTTAGTATCTTACCCACTTTAAGACGATAAGCTCATCAACAAATTAACCGCTTAATGTAAAAAAACGTTCCTATGAAATTTCAAACACAAATTATTATAATGTGGAAGCGTGGAAAGGCGATGTGATTCTTACTTAACCTAACTAACTTCCTTGGTGTGGTGTGGGTGTCACTTCGCTCACCCGCGAAATTCAAACTTGACATTAGTATAAAAGCACTTTTGCACTGCTTTTATGTCCGTAGAAAAAATTTTGTATGCACCACGTGTGTAAACTAGCTTTAAGACATTCGTGCAAACATTTTCGCGACTCGGCAAGCCTCGTCGCGAAATCCTTGCACTCATGTCTTAAAGCTTCTGTTTACACACTTGATACATAAATAACTATTTTTCACTACTAGCGTCTGATGGCGTGATTATTAACCCTTTTTCCACTTGTAAAATAGGCTTTCTCGGCATTTGTTCAGAGTGGTTAATAATGTGGACATTATTAACTAGTAGTCAATAATGAGAACTGTCACGCTGTCACTTTTAGAAAACACAACCCGAAATTTGGCTCAATAAACGTTAGGCAAGTTCTCTAAAATGAATAATTACCACCATCCGCCATTTCCAGAGAAATTACATACCTACAATTATCACATTTTGAAAAAATTCGAACGAAATTACTCTTTGAAAGATAAAAAGGTGCAGTTACTAAGAATAACGTTATTGTTAAACGAAGCTCCAAAACGTACTAATATCCCCGAAAATATTAGCATTATCATTGACATCCTAAGTAATGTATCATCCTTCATAAAAGATGACTGCCCTGGCTCACCAAGCCTCGGTTCAATATTGGACAAAGCCTCTGGAATTACGATTCTATACCATTCCATATGGCCAACGACCCAGAGCTCGTTACCAAATTAATATTCAACACCTCAGGCTGCAAATTATTGGTATCTCATAGTCAACTTTTAGTTTTCATTTGTTTGTAATTGTTATTGCAACGCGGTACGAGGTGTCACAGGGTTTCTGGGGGGATTTAATTTATTTTAGAATATTTTGTGTGTGTTTTCTCAGTTCATGGCGAGATTTTATTTTTATTTGGCATACGTTCAACTAATAAATACTCGTTTGTCTTGTGGGTCAATTTGTTGACTCTTTACATGCTGCAATTACCCTTCCTAATTCCAGTAAATGCAGACAAAATAGCTAGGAATTGGGTGGCGCCCGGAAAACTTAGTATCGAAGCACGAAAGTAAGTATAGGTGGCTGGGATTTGACTGAAACATTTTCTATGATCAGTGGTTATCACAATTTTGTAATTCACTTACCTACTACCCTGAGTAAGAACATCTCTCTCTATGCTGTTACATTTTTGGCTAACAGAGCTAGCTGGCCGATCAGCGGCGTGTGTGTTTCGCACATGGTAAAATATTATAGTGCCCTGCCTTCACAGCTTGCGCGTTATATATACATATAAATAAAGTTAGTTGTAATTGAAGGGTATTTTGTTTACTTATAAGCTTACGTATATATGGAGTTGAGGGAGGAAAAAAGTGTTTCCTAGTGCAGCTTTCGACCCTCAAAACGGGGCGAGAAATGATATTTTCTTAAGAGGTAGTAGGAAAAAATAATTCCACACTCCTAACATCAACTAACTAAAATGCTCAAGATCACGGTCTTCTTGCGTAACGAAGCCCAAACCAATCGTTACTATACCGGGTGGTCCTCGTAAACGGCGAACTCCACTCCAAAATTCCGGTTGCTTCGTTACACACTCCCCTTTCTTCGGGAAGAAAAGAGTGAAACTATTCGGCACGGTATAAAAATAATTCCTAAAACAAAAAAACTCGGGGCGGGAAACAGGCACAAATATGGAAACCCGACTGATAGATTCATTGGTTTATTATTTCTCTCCTTTGTCTTTACATCACAAAAATTTGTCATCGCGGTGGCCCTCTCAGGGCAAAATGTCCCTTAGGGTCCCGGGCTTCCGGCAGTTTCGGACAGCAGGAGCACCGGGATGACAGTCTCCCGACCACCTCGCACCTGGAACAGAAGATGGTGGCCAACGCCCACATCTCCAACATAAATGGACAGCCAGATTGGGATTCCGGGTACTTGTCACCCGCAGCAGGAGTTGGCGTTTCAAATTTCGGCCGTTGTCGCGCAGCGTCACCCGCACTGGTTCACCCATTCCGGGACTTGTCTGAATACCTACCGAACGGGTGGTGCGGGGGAAGGGCTCGGGTGCCCACTGACCGGGTGGTTGCCTCATTCCTCGGTGTTGATTTTTGTCTCGCCTTCTCCAAGCTTTCAATCCAGTCTGGAACCTCTATCTCTGTATCGGAAATTCTAAAAAAAATAAGAAACCCCCCTAACTTAGTCGATTACGGCGATGTAATTAATAACTATTGAATATATCGCAGCATAACACAGCAAAATGGAAATAAAATGTATTTT